TACCACGGTCAATCTGCGATTGCTCTTAACTTTGTTGCTAAATCTAACACGCCTAAATAATCATATTAAACGTTGTTATCTTAAACTGAAAATCTAACTACACCTTCCTGAATATTACCAGAAATCTGATTAATTAAAACAATAAAACGACCGTCAAGTGTAACTTTACTAATAGTATAAAAGATAACTTTAGTATATTATTAACAAGTTCAACAAGTAAAAAAGCAAATACTTGATTAACGACGTGAAGTACGTAACTAGTCTGACTTTAAAACTAGGTTCTATCTACCCAAGAGTCTATACTAGCGCTTAATAATCCGGGACTGTTTCAAGAGGACTTCGATAGCGTTTGTTATTTACATATGCGAGGTAGATTAGGTAAAAAAAAAGAGTACAGTCCACTAATATTGTTTGCGGCTTAAGATGCTTTTTAATTAAGAGTACAGCTGTTATACAAATACTAATAATATAAAAGAGGTTCTTATAATAAAGGCCCCGGTTATCTTATTATTATCTTAATACAAGGATACTAACGTTTGTTTAGTACATCTACAGTCCTTTTACAAGGGACTTTAATCTTGATATCACAAGTCAAAGAAAAGCTTATCTTTAGTGTTAACAACCTTTTACTTTTACTTAACTATTACTAGGCACGCGACACTTTTACTTTCTCTACAGAGTGATATCATATATAGTTCACACTGATCCTGCTTCTTTTCTTTGCCACAAGATACTAGTCTGTAAAGTTAGTTAACGTAAAGAAAAAGAAGAAGTAGTAGTGGCCTGGCTTTAAAGACGATGATACTAGCGATAAAAATGTAGACGATAATGGCTTTAAAGATGTAAAGTTGGCGCTGATGCTGACTTTAGGTTTAATAATTATAATAACGTTGTTACTGACTTAGGCTCTGAGAACAATAATAGTTCTGATAACGATATTATTATAAGCGATATTAAAACAGATCTTAAACAATTCAACGCGCTTTATTATAAAGACGTCTGCTTTTTAGTCGTGTGAAACCTTATAATAAGAAAGTGAGATATACTTGCGATAAAGGTTAAGCTAGCGTACTATAAGGGAGCTAAAAGACGCTTAAAGCTATAAGTTAACGAACCTATTCTTTATTATATGTCTAAAGTAAACTGACAGACTATAACAGTACGATATTCTTATTTACTAAAGTAAACGACTTAATCTTTTGTCTGATCACTTACCTTGTCTTTTTAGTTATCACAGATAGCGCTTTTAAGATATTAAGCTTGACTACAGCTAAGCGGGTCTTTAAGTATAAAGTGTAAGGCTTAGTTATGTTTACGCTACTATCTTAAAAGTAAGAAATACTTAAGACTTTAATTTTCCGTTAAGATAAGAAGCTAGCTAATAGTATAATAACCTCTCTGACAATCGCTCTTACTTACTCTTAATTTAAGGACTGCTTAAACTAGCTTAGGCTTAAAGCGGGCTTCTTAAAAAAAGCTAACTAGCTATTGCTTTTATCGTGAGACAGCTAATGTCGTGTTACAGACCCCTTGGCGCTACGGTTCAGTTGGCACCTATATAATGATAAAACCATTAGTAGTACTATGGGGGCATTAGTACTAACGAGGGAGCGGTACTATCGATAGGGTAGTACTAGCCAGGGAATGATACAGGACAATCGAGTGGTACTGCTGTACACTCACGCTTCGGTAGTAATAGTTACCTAGATCACAGTGGACGATAGGTCACGTGATAGATCCCTGGATCCCTGGATCCCCTTATAGGAAAACGGATCCAAGGATCTAAGGATCCAGTATCTTAAGGGATCTAAGGCGAACGAAGGTTTTATATAAGACTAGCACGTCTGCTATTAGATAGAAGCTTCGTGCTTAACTTCAAATAGTATTCTGATACTTAGTAACTATCTTCTTATCTACGTGATACACCTACCTCTCGATCATCAGAGATCAACTGTAGCCTTCTGTATTTACAGCGAGTAAATACCGGACCGTTATATGTCGTTAACTGTATGTATTTTATAACATCACAAATATAAACCATTTTACTAATAGAGTCTTTTTTTTGTGTTTAAGTACAGTCACAGATATAGTTTAAGATCAGGTTATACAACATAACCTAAACTTAGCGGTATATAACAGAGCTTATATTAATAAAAAGGTGCTATTTGATGTCTTGTCTGTTATCTTTAAGCGACCCTTTATAAATGGCGTCTTACGTATACTTACTTATATAAGCCTTATGCGTGATCTTTGTGCGCTAGTTCACGTGCTAAATGATATTTTAGTAGCGCTTCCTCCTGACTTACGTATCGTTAATCTTAAGTAGTAACAGGTGTAGCTAAAAGCTAAAGCTTACAAGATTTAAAGAATAAAAGTTAAGGCGATAGTTTAATGTCTTACTGTAAAAATCAGTATTACCTGAACTTAACAGTAAAATATTATCTCTAAAAAGTACTGAGCTGACTACTTTTATTATCGCCTAATAAAAGATATCAAAAGGCAGAACAGTAGACAGTAAGAAAAGGAGTATATTAAGCTAGTAGTTAAATATTAAATCTTTAAACAAGCGTAACTAGCTGAACTTATTTACACTTATATCGTAAGTATACCCCTGCAAGAGATTATCGCGCACTAGATCTACTCTGCTAGTCTTATAGTCGCCTTATACTGCCGCCGCGAAATGCCTTAATAGTACTGACTTTAAGTTACCTTACTACAGCTACCTCTTGTTAAAAAGGAATCGCCTGATCTTAAGCTATTCCCTCTTAAGCTTACTAAGGACTAGTGCCTGATTTATATTAGTGACAAATTAAAGAGCTATAAGAAACAGATAGGCTCTTTTTACTACCTTACAAAAATAATAGATCACGTTAAACAGATTCACCTTAAAAGAAAAGATCTACACGTTAAAATAAAGTGTTATTACCTAGCGTGTAAGTCTTAAAGGCTTGTTCTTAAGCACTTAGAGGATTTTAAAGGCCATGTACAAATAATACACAGCGTCAAGCTTCGTAAACCAAGGTTTGTACGTCCGTTAAAATAGACTGCGTTCCATTTCATATATAAATCTCCTCTTGTTTATGTTTGCTATGTCAAAGAAGTCACTCTCGTGGGAGGAGTTCACTGTAGTAACTGGAAAGGTAGGTAAGGGGATAAATAAGATTGTGGTAGAGACTCAGAGTTGTTCGCATCGTAATCCTTAGGCTGGCGGCGGGATTAGTTTTCCCTTTCACTTCGTCTCAGGGCATTTCATCTAGCGATTTACTTGTTAGGGTGTATCTTATTGCCTATGAAAATTTTGTACAAATTGGGGTTCGGAGAAGACACCCGCCCTTCTTCCTTCTATTACAGCGTATCCGTCGAGCATCCGTGCTCGATTAAACTCAACCCATCGTCAACCAGGCTCTCATAAGAGATTTCCACCAATGGCCAACAGGTCTAGACAATTCGGAACATGTGAAGAGTGGAGTTGTACCCCAAGGTTACCTAAGGGACCCGAAACGGATTTTGGGCAGAGGTTTGCACGGAAACTATAGCCGAGACACACATGGGCGAGAATAGTACGCGCAGGCTATCCCAGGGTATGCTTACGAAATTATGATACTCAAGCTCTGTTCGGGCTCTGCCACTGATGCTGCTTATTTGTATACTTATAAACACGGGCAGGTACAAGCCTGATACTTCTTATTAGTCTAGCAATATGTTTATTATTAATAATCAATCCAAAGATTCATCAACAATAGGAAAACATCATAAATCTGATAACCAGAGCGAGTTAGAGCGAGGTATCAACAAGGCCGAGAGCTCGCTTACCCCAGGGCTTGCTCAAGTACGTTTGTGGCCGCCCCTACCGCAAACGGATCCCCTTTGTGCGGCAAGTGCCGCACCTCTTCAGGCTTTGCCACCCGAAGCGTGGCGCTGAATAGTAAGACGACACGGGGCACAGCGCACTCACCAGGTTGAATTCCGGTGAGGCTCGCTAATTTGACGAGTCCCTCCATTTCCTGCGACAAGGCGTTACAGGTTCCGTGGGGAATAATACTCAAGGGAATAACTTAAAGATTAATTGTGCGGAACGTCCAAATTTGAAATCTGTCTTGACTTATTCAATCTCATTTTTATAATTATATCCCTTGTTAAATATTGCAATATACAATTAAATATAGGTTGAGATGTAATTAGTAGTCAGAAGATCACAATTTCGACGTTTCGCACAACTAGTCCATATGGTTTGCGATAGCCATGCTTCGTATTATCATTGGTCAGCGAAAGTGTGGGAATTCGTTTGACCCTGAGAATCAAATGTGGAGGAAAGCGGATTGACTCATTGCCTAGCATTCCTTGTAAAATGTAACATTCTAGTAGTTCGTACAGACGGAAGAAGTCGGATTATCTAGGCCTGTATAAAGTACAAGTACTTCTCAACTGCCGCCATTCCATGTGTCTTCCTTATGTCGAGGGGAAAGGCCGGAAACAGCAACAGCAGACGAGATATGGATGACGTGCGGCCGCATCAAGACTGTCAGCTTAAAGTTGCCCGCCTCCCGCAAGTGCTGAGTCAGGCTAGCATCCCCGACATGAACCCTATGAGCGCTACTTCAAGAATCCCTGACCTCACTGCGAGTAAAATCTCAGAGAGAAGCCTAGTATGGGCTGGAAAAGACTAGCAAACACAGTCTCCAAGTAAGAACGTTTATTTCTGTTGTTCAGGTCGACTTGATGTTGTTTTCCGCATTTGATGAACTCCTCGAGTCCTCGTACGACCAGATGTCGTCACATTTTCTGTTTAAGCATCTAGGCTTCAAATGATGATGAGAAACTTGATGCGCAAGGCGCCGAAATCTATTACCCACTGCTTCGATCGCCGATCGAGTCTTCGCTTACAACTGTGTACTTGCCCCGTATCGTCCATTGGAGGAAAATTGGAGCCGAAGACCTATGGGCCTTCATGTCCCCACATGGGATTAGACCCTAACGTTGTCCATCTTAAGGATATAATTCGAGAATTGATACCGAGGAATGCGAAGTGGGCCGACTTCTTGCTTGAGTCTTACCATTGATTTCACTTATACTGTTTTCATCGTCATTTGTTACTTCACTTACTTGTCTCTGGAGGTCGAGATCGAAGTCCAAGTGTCCGAAGAGGCGAGGCCCAAAGCAAGATCGAAGTCGAAAGTGTTTGAAGAGCCGAGTCCTTTGCGCCACCATGAATAGTTTGCTGCTGCTCATCCAAGAGTATAGTCTGACCTGTAGCATCTTCTATATAAGAAGGATCTGCAGTCCTTGTTCAATCACATCTCATTTAACTCTCAGCATTCTTGAGGCGCCCAATAGTGATTCAGGACACCCTTACATTACCCAAAATATACATTCACATTCACAAGAGCAGTTCCAAATTCCCAAGATGCTTCTCAATACACCCCACCTGTCTATCTTTCAAGTCCCTTCACGGGAATTACTTGAAGATTGGAAACTATACCCCGAAGGAGACTTAGACATACGCATGCTAGTCAACAGCCCAAGACATCATGAGCAGCTCTTTAAGAGTGACATGGATGATATTGCATCTGCTTTCCTCCCAAAAGAGCTTAAATAGTAAGATCTAAGTTACACTGTCATCTGTCCTCTGTCCTCTTCATTCTTAACTAACTTCTCAGTGTCGTTGATGAAACAAAAGGAAGAAATATCGCTCGCCCGATCACGTCTAATGATAGAGACATTGTAGTCTGTGTTATTGGCGTTGGGTACGTTGGAGAGCATCTTCTCTCGGGTTTCGGAAAAGTTTTCAACTCGATCGGTTTCGATATCTCGCAAAACAGAATCGATCACATCGCCCCCAGTTTCAAGAAATATCCCAAAGTTAGACTCACTACCGACGTGACAAAACTTGCACTGGGCACCCACTTCCTCATCTCGGTCCCTACAACTCTACATAAGGATCAATCAGTCGATGCCACTCATCTTGTGGCAGCAATCTCCTCGGTGGTCAAATATGCCAGACCAGGTTCCGTCGTCGTTATCGAAAGCAGTGTTTCTGTTGGTATGACACGTGCCTTCCTCAGTCAATACAGTGGCACGCTACACTGTGGCATGTCTCCAGAACGAGTCGACCCCGGTCGAGTGACACCGAGTCTGCAACAAATTCCAAAGGTTATCTCAGGCCTTGACGCCGTCGCTATGGAAAAGATTCACGCAATATACTCGCAGGTCTTTGACAGGGTCGTACCAGTTTCACGACCAGAGGTGGCTGAGATGACCAAACTGTACGAAAATTGCTACCGGATGATCAACATCGCCTATGTCAACGAAATTTCCGATGCATGTGTCACTCAAGGAATTGATCCAAACGAAGTCATCGATGCGGCAGCAACAAAGCCATTTGGGTTCCAAGCCTTCCGCCCTGGCTTGGGCGTTGGTGGTCACTGCATCCCAATCAACCCATATTACCTTTTCGTCAACAACACACTTCCTGTTCTAGCACATGCTGCAGAGCGAATGGGAGACCGACCAGCCAAACTTGCCCGTGAGATTTTCGCCGAACGCAGTGCCGTTACAGGCAAGGCTAGTCTACGGGTACTCATCATCGGTGTTGCATTCAAACCCGGACAAAGTGTTATTTCTTGCTCCCCAGGCCTCTCTTTCGCTAGAGAAATGGAAAGCCTTGGATGCGAGAGATTAATGTACCTCGACCCATTGGTACCACAATCCGACGTTCCATGGCTACCACGCCTGTTACCTAGCAAGTTCACATCAAAAGTCGTGGATAGCCTCTTTGATTTGGTTTGTGTGTGTATGAAGCAGGATACCGTGGATTTTTCAGTTCTAGACAATGTTTCCAGTCATGTTCATTATTATTGAAAAAGTACGGTGGCGGGGCAAAGACTGTACAGGAGTTTATGGGGGGAATTGGACAGGAATGGTTTTGGTCATGGCGTTACGAATTTGCTATCTAACTATCCCCATGCCTATTGGGTTCAAAATTATAAAAAAGCATACAATATAGAATAGATTTACTTAATTACGAGACATAGTTAACCCTCATCGGGGATGTTACATACTTCCTCAAACCTGTTGTCACGTGCTTCCTCAAGTCAGCGTCAGTATCCATTGGACAGGGCATATATCTGCGGAATTATCACATGGTGGTTATGGTGTGATGTCTAATGAAACTGTCCCCATACGGCTCGGAGGTAGTCCGCTGTTCGCTGGATCACATTCCTCACAACGACATTCCGATGGGATTATGGACAGAGAGATCGCCGCTTGGTAGCTCTTGAACGTATTCCCTAGTAGTCCGCTATTCGCTGGATCACATTCCTCACAACGACATTCCGATGGGATTATGGACAGAGAGATCGCCGCTTGGTGGCTCTTGAACGTATTCCCTAGTATGTCCGGTGCTTACTTCTTTCGGCGTCCTTATCCACCCCGCCTCATACCAAATTATTGTTAGGTCTTAAGCAATTGTATGTACGTTTATAGGCTATTTTCGAGGGAGATCTCGTCTATTGAATAACTTCAAAAGCACTCTAAGGTTCGGTAGAGCCTTTACTACCAAAGATGAATACTCTACCCTATGTTTTTCTGTTAACTAAGACATGATAAGGGCAATGATAATTCAAAATTGAAGGCATTCACGGTGGTGGTCTCCTCTCCATAATGCTTTTGGATTAACGTTAGTCAACGCGGAGACGGGTACTGATCCTTGTGCAGATCCTTCCTATGGCACCTTCATAAGACCCTTTAACTTTATGTGTCGTTAGTGCATGATTTAAACCTATGTTGTTCTGCTTGTTTGTGTGAACGTTCCAAGACCGACTTAGTCTAGGCCTAGGTGACTTCCGCCAGATTAATTGTGAGGCCATTCTTTATAGACATGGTAGTAACTCAGCGCGTATTAATCTACCAAGAGATTAAAAACTCTAATTCATTCCGCCATCCTCCAGTACTATTTTCTGGGTAAAGAATGTTCCGAATGTCTTGGGTGTTGACGAAATTGTTGATCCTGAGTAAATAGATTGTGATTAAGGCATCTTTTATTGTTCGCAATTAATCATGCAACTTTCTCTGTTCTTTATGTATTGTGTCATAACATGAATCACAATAATACTTCTGGAGAATCAACCTCGTGGTTTGAGGCTAGGGCCAGATAACGGACAGAGCCCGATGAACAGTACTTCATCAGAATCCTCCTCAGGCTCGCGAGATGTTCTTCGAGGGGCGGGTACCTTAGTACAATGGTCTCCAGGTCATGGTCGCCGACGGAGGTCTCAACTGCAGTACGTGCTGTTCTCATATACTTTACTTAGTAGTCGCCGTCTTTCTAACTGACTACCACAGAACACCATCACGTCCGGCAAATCCGAGTTTCGTTTTCCCACAAACCCATCTCTCACGTAGGCCGGGTCCAACCCATCAACGGACAATGGAACAACAACCATCCTGGCGCGAGACCAACTCAGCTGTCAGTTCTGAGGATGTTACGCCTCTATCTGTAAATTGGCCACAACCCTCTTCGCCATTCGATGATCCGGTAAGTAGTGAACCATGGGGCTCAGCTCAAGATTCAACTATCCGGCCTCAACGAGCCTTTCCCCTGGCTTGTAAGAAAAAGCAGTTGTCGTCATCAAATGATTCAAACGATGCCTTGCATAAGAAGTTATCACAAACAGCTGGATCAAGTATCAACTTCAGCAGGCCACTCAACTTATCAATTCCGAAAGTCCATACAAATCCGGATGCTCGCACGCCCATGCAACCAGAGCATTTTAACAACTCCTTAGAGAGAGACCGGACACTTTCATCAGAGTCCGACGAATTTCGATCCAAAGAGAAGGCCGAGAAGGGCCAGAACCAGTCAGCAGATCTGATACCTGGAACCCGACAGAGATCAAGTTGTGTACTGCTCAATCGGAGGAAGTCCAAATACACTATCGAGAAGGAGAAGGTTGTTCGAGCACAGGGGAAAAAGAGATTACGGTGGACCCGCAATGTGTTCATGATCTTCATTTTAATCGCCAACAGTGTTTGTATTGCCATCAGTTGGACGTATCCAGAGTATTGGTATGTCTGTAAGTTCAAGTCTCCAGCTCATTCTCCTAAGTCAAATATCTGATATTCTTTTCATAGTCGTGCCTGTCATCTTGCTCGGAAATGCCTTGAGCTCTCTTATGGTGCTTAACTTAATACGGTGGTATGTCTGGGGCCGAATTCTACGGTTATTCGCCAAAACACCGCCACCTCTGCCCACACATATTCCTACAACTATTGGTATGGTCTTGGCTTGTTACTGCGAATCCTACCAAGACCTCATGGATACGCTTAAAAGCCTCAATGCACAAGAGAAGGTAGAACATCATAGAAAGATGTTCATTATTATCTGCGATGGACAGGTGAAAGGAAAGGGTATGGCAAAGTCGACTGATCGGATCCTAGTCGAAGACATTTTAAAGCCTGAGAAAGAACATTGGTTTCCAGTGGGATATGAATCCTGGGATGGAGCCATTAATGGAATCTACGCCTCTGCCGGTATCTGGGAAGGAACACCATACGTTCTTCTAGTCAAGAAGCGAAATCTAGGAAAGCGAGATGGTTTGATCCTCGTTCGCACTCTACTTTACAAGTATAGATTTCGGCACGAGAATCCAGAGACTATAATGGGAGATGACTTCTTCCGATGGTTCTGCGAATTTTCAGAGGACTGCGCGTTTGAGAATTTTGCATGGTTGGTCGGCGTCGACGCTGATACTACTTTCAACTCGACGTGCATGTACGAGATGCACAAAGAGTGCTTGAAAGACCCAAATCTAGTTGGTTGTTCTGGCCTCATCCAAGGTATGCTCTCTCACACGATTGATATTATCCTCTTCCCCCAGCACTCTTACTGATGGACTGTCTACAGTCGGATTTCGAACTGGACAATGGAATCTCTGGAACATCTATCAAAACACAGAATATATCCGTGCCCAATGCCTCCGTCGGTGGCATCAGGCTCATGGGACAGGGAAAGTCTCCTGTCTACCGGGGGCCTGTCAAATCATCAAGATCTGCGATGAGACCTGTAGCGATGCGATACTCATAGAGTTGTTCGGACACATCCCAGATCCGAAGGCGAACATGATTCACCAAGTCCGCGCTCTCGCAGGAGAAGATCGGAATTACATCTGCCTGATATTTTTCCGGTTTCCAAAGTCTCAGACGACAATGTCACTCAAAGCGATTGCATATACAGATCCGCCCAACGGCTTCATGGTCTTCCTTTCGCAGCGCAAACGCTGGACGCTCAGCACGTGCGCCAACGACTTGTTGATTACGATGAAGAACGAGATGAACTGGTTTGAGAGGCTCTGCTCTCTGGCTGATGTCCTCGTCTGGGTCCTCAGCATTTTCGTTATGCAGACCTTGGTTCTGTTCATCAAAGCATGCATCGCTGTCGAGGATCCTACATTCATTGTGTGTTTTGCCATCGTCACGATGATTCCATTGGCGTATGGTATCTTCGTCGCGTACTGGGGCTGCGAAACAAATCGGTTGCGTCTGCAGTATCTTTTGGGTCTTTTAATATTGGTACTTATAGGACAGGTCGTAACTCCGATCGTGATTTGTTATGCGGCTTGGCATATGGATGATTTTAGTTGGGGAAAGACGAGAGAGATAGAGGCATCGGATGATCCCGACAATAAACCAGCACATTCATAATCAAAAGTTATAAAAGTATGTTAGTTAAAAGTACAAATATGAACATGAGTATTATCATAGTCTTCCAGTATATCATTCTAGTCTAATGAAATGTGGATTGAAAGTTGTTGTCGGCCAGTTTGAAACATGATTACGAGATAAACTCTTTTGATATTCTACTAACATTACAAAAAATTAATTACTCGATGTTGTTTGGTAGCTTTGACATAGCGAGCTTGACAAGTTCATAGTATAAGCATAATTGTCAGGCTGCACACGGGCATTTCACACATTAAGGACAGGAGTTTGCTTTTCCTTCCTAGAATCAAGGTATTCAACACCTTGAGAAACGCGTGGTTCAAATTTTATATCAAATATACTGATGTAACCACTGCACAATACAACATAAAAACTTTTACACCCATCACTGCATAAAGTGTAGCATTCCTAACGCCGAGATTAGTAGAAACTTCGACTTGTACGTGTCTGTGTAGGAACACCCTGAAACTACCGCCCCCTTGAGATGCTCCACGTGATATCCGGAGGTTCGGAGCACCTACGATGTCAATGCCTTCTTCGAAACAGCTATATAATCAAGCCCCTGTGAATTCATCGTGATGTGCCCATAGGCACCATCCCACAACATCACACCCCCAAAATCCTCTGTGGTGTCTGCCCTTGCACTCTTGAGCGTCTTAGCAAACGCGTCTGGTTCTTCGTAACCCCCGTTGGTAGTACCACCCGCAAATGATGGGGAGCCGATGTATAGCTTTGGTCCGACGAGACGCTCGCTCCATGCTTTTACGGAATCGGGGAAGGAGTCGGTGCCGATGTTGCAGGAGGGAGCGCCATAGAATTGGGGCCAGACAAAGTCCATGAGATTTAGCATCTCTAAGGGATTCGAGCCATTCGTGGTTAAGGAGCAGCTTGGGGCAGCGGAGAGGTAGTAGGTTTTCCTTTTTTGTGCTGTGAAGAGAGACCGTAGGGCAGCTGCGAAATCTTCATAGTAGGATCCGTCACCTAGCTCGTTATCTGTTGATATGTTAATGACTTTCCATAGCTAGCTGGCAATTGAAGAAGTTATACCAATATCAAAGCCATCGACCTTCACGTTCCCAAAGGGTCGCAATCCAGCGTCTTCTGCTGAGCCACCACCAAAGAGGTTCCACAAGAGGGTTGCTGCATTTTGCGCTTCAGTGGTGTTGGCAAATGTTGTCTCCCCATTTTGACCACCTAAGGCAACAAGAACCTTCTTGCCCGCAGACTGACAGCTCTGGATTTGTGGTTCCAGATCTGTACATGAAAGAAGACCGGTGGCATTGGCAGCAATCATCTCGGACGTCTGACCGGTGCATAGCTTTTCGAAGCCAAGGTTCGGGTATCCTCCGCCGCCAAAGATCTGAGTGACGAAAGCCAGCATCACGATATCGATATTCTTGTCACTACATTGTGCAGTGAGATTTGTGTTTATTGTCTGATCCGTCCTCCCGAAATAAACAGCGACGTTTTGGGATGATGAAGCATCAAATTTGTATTTCGGTGACGCCGCGGCGGCGGTAACCTTTTCCGAATGAGTGAAGTTCTGATATTTCTGTGATAGAACTGTTGAGGCATATCCGAGAGCAACTGCCAGGCGGATGGAGGATATCAACGAATGCATGATAGCAACTTAACGAGTATGTTTTACGATTTGGTACTGTAGCTCCAAACTGCTCTTAATGTTGATGGGGTACCTTGGAGACCATGCTTTTTGTCACTAGTGGGAGAGGAAAAGTACATTCAAGTGGCAGTTGGCCAGGCTGGCTAGACATACGTAGTGAGTCTACTAGTAGCTATGTGAGGTCATCAGTTGGCTCAATTCGTCTGTTACTAGTTCTACCCTGAGCCCTCAGAATGGCCCACATTATCTAGAGCGAAGTGGGTAGGTTTCGCTTTGCAAAACTATGGCCTGTTTTTGCTGATCTATCCCGAATACGGATGGGCCACCCGCAACGAGGAATGCATCAACGGGTTTAGAGTCCACAAACGGACTCCAGAGTTTCACACTCCATGCCATATTATTGGAGAGCTCTTTCGAAAAGAAAGAGTCGTAATATGCCGTACTTGATAATCTCTCTTAGCGCTACTTCGTAAGGATATAACGTTTTTTATATGAATAGAGTGTAACGGTCTGGTATTTACTCGGTGCAAATACGGAAGGCTGTTATTGCTCTCAATGATCGAGAAGTAGGTGTATCATGTACGGGGTAAGACAGTTACTAGTATGGTTGAGAATACTATTTGAGTTGAGCACGAAGCTCCTATCTAATGGCAGACGTGCCAGTCTTATATAGAACCCCCGTAGAGTCCTGGATCCCCGTGGATTCTTGGATTCTTGGATTCTTAAGATTTCTAAAGATCCTGAGATCCATCACGTGACCCTGGTCTCGTGATTACTTCCTGGTCTTGGCTCTCTGTGCAGCAAGGCTGCCGAGAAAAAACTTCACAAACAGCGAGAACGTAATTTTTGGAATTGAACAACGAAAACCGCATCTAGCAGCCCTACTTTTGACCAGTTGAGACGCCTATGCCTTTGCGCATTACCCAGTGTGACATAGGCAGTATGGCGACAACGTGGCCTCAAGTGGCAGCATGGCCCAACGACCCCCGAGAGCATGCTGCATACCTCAGCGATTACCTCAGGAAAGCACTCGTCTGTATTGACTCCGCCGGAGACCAGCCGGTGCCGAAGCCTCTTGTCAAGACTATGATCGCAGCCATGAGCGTCCTGATTTCCAAGTTCCAGAATACCCCTGACCTCACCGCCGTCGTCCAAGCCATTACAACTCTCCAGAGCGACCTCAAAACAACAGCAGAAACGGTACAATCCACGGCGATCAAAGTTCAGCAGAATACAATAACGCAGCAGCACATGGCTACACTGAGCCAGGAGACCAATCAAGCCGTGAAGGAAGCTGCCGAGATACGACGAACAACTACCGGACTTCTGCAAGAGACGAACGACATAGCCAAAGCGATAAATGATACAACCAAGACGACGAATGACATGGTGAAAGTTGTACAGTGCGCTCCGCCTTCTAAGGCTTCATACGCGTCGGTATTGAGTAGCAATGCGGCTCCTCTTAGCAGACTAATCACAATATCTACTCAGACATCATCGTTCATTCAAGCACAACGTGAGATCATCGTGAAGATTACAGACACATCCACTATCGAGAGCATCCGAGCCAAGAACCCCAGAAACTTACAGAACCACGTTGACCGAGCGATTGAACAGAGCAGGAACAAACACATTGAACGGATCCGCGTTGCATCAGCTAACCAACTAAAGAGCGGAGATCTTAGCATCAAGACGTCAAACAGAAACGATGCAGAGGCCTTGAAACAATTCGCAAACGACTGGATAAACCGGATTGGAAGAGGCACAAGTATACGGCTGCCGACATATGGAATTCTGGCACACGGTATAAGGACCAGCTCAATGAACATGGAGAAGTTCGATGAGATCAAGGCTGAGCTCCTGCACGATAACAGACCGTTCATACCCAATGCGGACATCAAATACATTGGATGGCTATCAAGAGCAGCGAGTACAAAGTCAGCTTCGACCATTATCGTCGAGTTCACCAATCCGGAAGACGCAAACAAGATCATCGACGAAGGTCTCATTTGGCAAGGCGAGGCTTTTCAATGTGAGAGATACGACAGACAGTGCCGACTGAAGCAATGCTACAAGTGTCAAAAATACGGCCACATAGGAACCCAGTGCAAAGCGAGCACAGCATGTGGCTACTGTGCAGAACCGCACAGCTCGAAAGATTGCCCCACTAAGGTCGACAAGTCCGCCATAAGGAAATGTGCGGTGTGTAAGGGAGCACACGAGGCGTGGAATAATCGATGTCCCGTCCGGAAGGTCGAGTTAAGCAAGGTGAAAGCCGCATACGATGCCCGACAACCATACCATTTTGTCCCACCAACGAAGGAGAGGCCTCCAATGGACCGCGCGATTATTGACGCTACGCCAGCGGAAGCGGCAGCAATGATGAATGGAACCCAGAGAGGCAGGCCAAGTGCCACTACAGCAAGGCCATCATCACTGACGCCAACAATACCACCAGGCAGACAGAACTCCAGGAGCAAGTCCCCAACGAAAGGAAGAGCCCCAAAGAGGGTCCACTTGGGAAACGGGCTCGACAGTATGCAAGATGAGAACGAGGACACAATCATGGTCGAGGATAGCCAGAGACCGCGGAGGCCACACGTGCCTTCAAGACGAGCACTAGAGTCAATCACAACGAACTCACTACTCAGTTCCCAATGGAGTACAGATGAACCATGAACTACGGCGAAGAAGGCATAAAGATCCTACAGTACAACGTCATGAAATCGAGGGACGTAGTTATGGCAACACTGCTACGCGACCCAAGGATCCAGGAGTACGATATTCTAGCGCTCCAGGAACCATGGAGGAACCCCTTCATCTCGACGACCCACAACCCAATCACACACTCTTTTCACCTCTGCTTCCCTAACGACAGCAGAGAAGCACCTGCGAGAGTCTGCTTCTTTATCAACAAGAGAATAGACCCAAATAGGTGGAGATTTACAGACCACACACGAGACTTGAGTACACTTGAAATCACGACAACAAGCCCAACCACAGAGGCAGCAACGAAGATCTATATACACAACGTATATAACCCCCCAAGATCGTCAGACTATAGGACGAGTTGCCTACCACACCTCAGAACGGCACTTTCCGCCCACCAGGAAGAAGAACAAATCATTCTGGGTGATTTCAACCTACACCATGAACTCTGGGGCGGCCTAACGGTACGAGAAAGAGATCCAGAATCAGACGACTTAATTGATATCATGGAGGAATACCAGCTAGGCAGCCTTCTACCCGCCGACACAGTTACGTACGATGACAAAAATGCACAGAGCTGCATCGACCTCTGCTACAGTACACAAGATCTGGTGGGTAGGGTTGTCAAATGCAGAGTAGACCACGAGATAGACTACAATTCAGACTACCTTTTAATTACAACGATTCTAGACCTTTAAACAATACAAAGACAACAGGCAAAAACACATAACTAGTCTAGTATCGATAAGAAGGAGCTTTAAACAAGCCTTGCGCGAGAGTTACTTACAATCTGTTGTCTTAAGTCAAGGCATGCCTTAGACAGATATGTTGTAAAGGTGACAAAAGCGATACAGTCAGCTATAAAACACGCCACGCCCCTGAAAAGATGGTCCTCAAGAGCGAGAGCCGGGTGGGCCTTTAAATGTAAAGAAACACAAGCCAAGGCGCGAAGACTTAAGCGCCGTAACGCCTGACTTTACACAGACAAGAGCTGGGAGGCTTACTGCGTAGCTTGAAACTAGAAAGGAAGAGTGATCTGTAAGGCCTTACTTTAAGGCTACTGAAACTAAGTCGAAAGCGCTATAAAGAGCTTAAAGAGTATATAGAAGCTAGCAAGATAGGCAAAAACCTAGGGGGAAGTGGCACTGACTACTACTCTGATATTAAAAGACCTAATAACAAACATTAAGCACACAGAGTCGTAAGACAAGGCAAGACTTTTAAAAGCAACCTTCTTCCCGACACCTTTAAAACTAGATCTCTAAGATATCCACGGAGCCGAATACTGAGACTAGATCTTATGTCCGGATATCACAGAGAAAGAGGTACTTTAAGCTATTGCCTTCACGCCTTTAAAGAAAGCTCCAGGACTAGACGGTATTATAAACAGAATCCTTTATATTATCACCGCCTAGCTAGCCTTGCATCTTACAAGGATATACAACTAGAGCTTACAATTAGGGTACTGCTTAGCACACTTTTGACAGTCTACTATTATTGTCTTTAGAAAGCTAGGCAAGGATGACTACGCTGTGCTTAAAGCGTATCGTCTGATAGCTTTACTAAACACATTTAGTAAGCTTATAGACTTGATTATTATAAGAAGAATCAGTTACGTAATTAAGGTGTATTAACTGTTATCAAGTACATATATTAAAAGGCGTAAGGGAAGATTAGTAGACTATACACTACACACTATTATCGAGAAGATATATGAGGCTTGGAATTTGCCAGAGCTACAAGTAGCAAGCCTCTTTTTACTTGACGTCTTTAGGGCTTTTGACAATATCTTATATATTAGACTACTTCACAACCTTTACAAACGTAAAATAAATAAAAGAATAGTTAGATAGATCGCTAGTTTCCTTATAGATAAGAGTATAGTTATTAGCTTTGATGCGTTTAAGTTAGAAGGTACTGATTTGTGTGGTAACGCTATATGATATATTACCTTACAGCTGCTATTAAGCTAATAATAATTGCTTATTATATAAAAAAGAACTCAGAAACTTAGATTAATTCACTTTATTACTTTTAAAAGCAAAAAGAAGTCAATAGCAGTGCTATAATGTGGCGTTACTAGTATGTTATAAAAGAAGGCTCTTTATATATTAAGCTGGCGGCGACGATAAGAAGGTAATTTTCTAGGTAGCTAAGATAAGATAAGGAGGCGGTAAGTACAAGTGCGTTAAAGTTAGTTAAGGTCAGGAGTAAGAGAAATAGGGAGGCTGATGAGGTAAAGCTGGATTATAATAAGAGGCATAGTTATAGGAATTGGGTTTAAGCGAGTTTAGCGAGTTGTGTGTTTACTTCCTGATAGCGTGCGTTTCTGTATTTCTAGCTACACGTGAAAGCTGTGTTAAAATATTATTAATGACTTACGATATTTTATGTTTAAGAGACTTGTGTGGTTAGTTCTTGTGATGTTTACTTTTGGATTAGTATAGTCTTTTAGTATTTTTATCTTATGATTGATGCTTACTTAAGCTTAACTCTTGACATGTGAACTGATATAAAGATCCACACATAGATATTAAGATTAATATATCATATTTAAAAAAACGTTAAGATCTTCTTTTTAAAAAAAGAGAAAGACAAGTATCTTATTTAAATTAAGCAATTACATTTTCCAATTTCCATTCCCCCCCCCCTAAAAAACTCCCGCTAACCACACAACTCCAAGTTTAATGCTCTCATGTCTACCCACTCTTTTAAGCAGTACACTTACAATCATCATGCTTACAAGCCTTCTTTTTACACCCTTCCTCTTTTTTCGCTACACACTTACACTCTTTTTTTCCCTCTTTTTTCCTCTTAACACACTTATATCCCTTATAACTATGTAACTGCGCCTTAACCCTTACGACTAAGTTCTCGCCTGTCTGGCCTATAGTATAGATAAGACAATCTTCTTTATATAGTTACTTACTAACAAAATCAGCCTTAACATTATATTTAGCGAAACTGTCTTTTGTGACTTTGTCGTTAAAGAGTGTGGTTAACGTAGCAGTAAAAGCAAGGCCTTATATTGAGAACGTGCCTTTGACTTGCGTGAGTTAAGAAGAGTTAGTATAGTCAGTGTTGTAGTTTATTGTAGTTTAAAGGACTGTTTTGTTGATTTTTAGTATAAGTACAAGTACTAGTACTAGTATCTTTCTTAAAGACTGAATCCCTAGATTATATCTCTAAGTTCCTAGCTTTAGTTTTAAAGAAAAGGAAAAGTATAATGTAAGAGATAAGACATTAAAGGAAAGTAAACATACTATAATATAAAAAACCTTTTACCTTACCTTAAGCATTACCCTTAAATCTCGTAGCATTAACCTCAGTTTCTAAACCAACCTTAAATTACTGTCTCGCTAGCGCTTTAGTAAAGACTAACACACTATCGTTACGCTTTTATTCTTTAGCGGCGGAGATTTCGCTCTTTTGCTTGTAAAGCTTAAAATCAGATTTTAGGTAGCTTTTAGACTGTTAAGTAAGTTAAGCAGATTAGCTTTGTCTTTTGTTTACTAACTATTAAGAGAGAAGTTAAATTGTAATCTATGTGATAATATGAAAAAAGATGAGGTGACTGATGGTAAGTTTAAGATTAATAGGGAATTTAAGATAAAAAGAGAAAAAAGGAGTTGATTAACTTACAGTAAGCCTAGCATTAGCAGCTGCTTTTGTAACAGCGAGATCTGTAAAAGTACCTAAGATATTAATATCACAAGTCACTTTAAAGGGATCTTTATTAAATCTAATAATAGTGTGTATGATATAGTAAAGAAGATCAGACATAATCCTTGTTAGTTTATTAGCTTGTTAAAGAAAAGTACTTAGTGCTTAATACTTAGTTGCAATTGTAAGTACGTATATGTTAACTTTAGTTAGTAGTAAACTATTATTTGAGATTTTGTCAGGAGAAAGATAGAACAAAAGACTTAAAGGGAATATATGATTTATATACCTATTTCATTTTGCCTCTCTTGTTTATTATCTGTTTACACATATACATGTATAGTATCACTAGTTACTAGTTTATTAACTAGATAAGTTAAGCTAAAGTTAAAGTAAGAGTAAGGTAAGGTAAGTAAGTGCCTGTATCTAAGCAGTTAGTCTACCTTGCCAGTTATTTTAAATATTACGTGATGTTTATTAAACTTAAGGGTTAAACGACTATAAGCTGATTATTATTAACGTATCTAGCAATTTATAACAACTTACATACTGTAGATAATTTGTAGACGTGTAACTTTACGTCACTTAACGCTTTGTGATATTTACAGCGCGTGGCGTGTAGTATAGTTCGATGCTGTGAATTTTGCCGAGAGATTCTAAGGTGATATGTTAGTGGAGCGTGAGTTAATTCCCCTCTTGATAGGAGAGGGGAGATAGGGTATAAATCTACAAGTGTGTCCCGCAGACGTCAAGGAGAAGGAAACTAAAAATCGCATTTTTAATAACAGTAAGACCCTTATATAGTACTTGACGGCAGAACAAACATATAACAGAAATCTCTTAAAGAGATAATAATTTTGTCTAACAAGGTCTTTATACGTTAGCAAAACTAACCTAGCTAAAATAAAACAAAACTATGTCACTATTCACACAACTTTAAACTGTGTTAAGGTATAACTACAGTTACAGTAACGGGATCGACAAAGACTTCTTACTGATCTTATATTATATTAACGAATTTAACCGACACTTCTCACGTTGTCACTACTTTATAAACTGTTTTATCTTACGCTTTAACCTTAAAGAAGACGATCAGAATTATTACTTGTATAGTGATATTCCCGGCGTGATAGTAAGTGAGATTACAGTTAAGGCTAATGATAACTATATATTAGTTGTGTATGAGAATACTAAGAGGCCCGGACTGAAAAGGAAAGGCAAGGTAAAAAGGGAGGGAGTATCAAATCCGACTCTTAGATTTTAGGCTGCTTTAGTATAAGAATAAGAATAACAAACTTTCAAACTATCACTACTAACCTAACTAGTACTAGCACTAACACACATGCATCACCAGCGACACTTGACCTCTAACTTTAACCTAAACCTTAACCTAACTACTAACTATGTAATCCTCCTCTCTAAGTGCTTTACTAGAGACTTTTACTATATATTTGCCTTCCCTTGTATTGTCGATAAGAAAGGCGTTAAAGTTAGTATAAAAAACAAAGTGCTAAGTGTTATAGTTCTGAAGAGAAATGTAGTAGAGAGAAAGAAGAAAAGGATTAAGATTCTAGTTTTAAAGGGTAAGTAGTAAAGGGCAGGGAATGAATTGTATAAAAAGAATGAAGTGCGAGAAAGGATAGCGACAAAGGTTAGGGGTGTGAGTATAGACTAAGGGAATGTAGTGGCGTTTCAGGGCGATGCGGTCTAAAGGATTAAAGTGTTAGTAAGTGTACGTCTGTAAGAGCCTTTAAAAAGATGTTTTAAAGTATAGTTTAAAAGAGAGGGTCTATGATTTCTGTTTAGGTAATTTAGTAAAATAGTAATAAGGTAAGAGCTGACTTGTAAGATTCACTTTTTATTTTTCTCCTTTAAGAACAAGCTATAATATCTAATTAAAGCTTTTGGCGTATGTATCTTAGTCTTACAGTACCTCCTTTTAAACAAACTTTTATATCGACTGAGTTTATATGCCATCTCATTACTTGATCTTAACCAGCCTACCTTTTGTGATATATCAATAAAATAAAGATAAAAGGAATACATTATATTAAGAGGTCTATATAGTATTAACCAAAATAAACTACTTTTATGTAATTAGCTTCGGCTCTTGTTGAATCTGAACAAATGAAAGTCTCCCTGACACATGTCCTAAAACGATAATCCTGCCCCAAACAGCTTCACAAGTAGGTCGATACTCAGTAGGTAACCAAAGAATATTCGTACTGCCTTCTACTAGCCAATAATTCATTACCCGTAAAACTGGTAACTGCGTGCCGTCGGGCGAGAAGGCGACTGAGTAGACTGCATCCGAATGGCCCTCGAGCGTCGAAAGCGTTACGCCGGTTGCCGCATCCCAGAGCCGCACTGTCGCATCGCCTGAACCCGAGACGACCTGCTTGCCGTCGGGGGAAAAGGCGGCTGAGTAGACTCCACTTGAGTGGCCTTCGAGCGTCTGTAGTGGCGCTTTAGTTGCCACGTTTCAGAGTCGCACCGTCTTACCGTACGAGCCCGACACGACCTGCTTGCCGTCGGAGGAGAAGGCCACTGACGAGACGTCGCTAGTGTGGCCCTCGAGCGTCTGCAGCGCTACGTTCCAGTGTGCTTGCACCTTTGGTTTTAGTTGAATCCAACCTGGAATACATCCCTCGAACTTTCTTCGCACAATGCTATTTCTTGGCGCAAAGACGAGAGCAGAGCAATATAGCTGCAAGGGTGCCTGTTCAATCGCTGATCGATTATATAATACAAATCGCTTTGTATCATAGATAAATACATGCCAATCAGGGGTTTCAATAGTCTAAGGGCAAGTTAAGACTTTCTAATTAATAGACAGATAACTTACCTGGGTATAAGCTTCTAAGGCTAAGATTGCTTGAATCCCTTCTGAGATCTTGCCCATCCACCCAAGCGCCTCAAGCCAGTGCAGTAGATGAGCTTGTAAAAACCCGTGGGCTTCCTCGCCGTCGTAAGCCTGAGAGCCACTCCGTTGCAGATGCTGGACCCAGTAGAGACATGCGTACTGAACTTCGGGCGGAAGGCATTTCTGAAGATGGCTACTGTCAACCTGGCTGGCTTGACTACCAGGAGCATGCATTTCGCAAACATCCTTCTTCAGTGTCTGGGACATCAGCTGTATACAGCTAGTAGCTAATTTCTGGTGAGCCTCCTTTTCATCTACCTAGAAATCCCCACATCGATCCATTTTAAGGAGAAAGTCGCGAAATGAAGGGTGATGGAGTTGGAGCTGGCGAGTCGGATCCTCAGGAATATCAATGATTTCATGAAGATCCTCAAATGTCTGGTCGACCTCTTCCTTTGGAAGGTGCAATAGCCTGCTTAGTGAAGAGGCAGAAAGAGGTGAGAGCAACACCACTATACTTCCAAGCTTTCGCTTTAGTATATCGCATGCCTCTTCTTTCTCTTCCTCTGAATAGTCCAAGGAGATCGAGTGCTTGAGGACAGCAAGGTAGATCTCATTGAGGTGCTTCTCAGGTGCGAAAAAAGCGCTGCTACTACCTTTGAGAATTTTATCCAGTCTCTTGCCTGCGAATCGCCTCCCCTCACGAATAAAGCGACAAGCGGTCGCTGCCCAAATGAAGAGGCCACAAGCGTATAGAACTAGCTGTCTCAGAACCACTTCGCCTGGCCAGTCTGCTCCAAGAGTCCACTCCTGCCTGATTATCCCCAGATTGTATTCTAGGAAGAGAGAGATATCATGGTCGATAATCGTTGGTTGTATACTGTGGAGTACGAAGTCCCGGCGTTCAACTTGTGAGATGGCGCATATCCCGTGTCGAATTGGGATTTCAGGTCTGCTCGTCAAAAAGACTCGAAGTCGTACTGCCGTCGATAATCGAGCTTCAGCTAGAAGCTGCAGAATGATCCGGACATCTTTATCATCCTCACACTAATCAAGTGCGTCGACGACAACAACGTAAGACTGGCATGATTTGCTGTGTAGATTCGATAGTGGACTGAGAACAAGCTGACGCCACTGCTCCGAGAGGGACAGGCTCGCAATATCGCTCCGGTTTTTAGCAGCCTCACGGATGTATTGTCGAAGGGATGGCACATTAACAGCGAGCTGCGCCGCTAGACTTGTAAAGAACTTGCCAGCATGGCTCACGTCTCCGCCGCCCTTTGAGAAGAAGAAGCTGGCTCCAAGACGCTTCTGCTCACTATATCTGCGGGCGACAGTGCGGGAGATGGTTGACTTTCCCGTCCCAGCCAGGCCGTTCAGCCAGAAGATGCATTGCTCATCTTGTCCATCTTTTCCATCAGCCCAGCCATATATCTCTTGTAGAAGGTCGACGCGCGTTTGAGGGAGGCAGGCAGGTTCGTGTTCGTGGTTGCGGGAGTTGAAAGGCGCATTTGATGCGAAGGGAAGGAGGCTGAGTGGGTCTTTTTGGCCTGTTGCGCATTAGCGTGTTTACTTGTCTCATGAATAAGGATATCCCTACAAAACAGGAATTGACAGGTAAAGAGACAAATGACGTCTCGATTCCATGCTAACGTCCACGAGGCCATCCACCGATACTCCCAGCAACAAGTCCTGCCATCGCGGCAACAGGTTTCAACCCTCCTTTCCCAGTGATTCTCCCTCTTCTCCTCCACTTATGAAGGCGGCCTCCATGAACCCAAAAGATGAATTTCATCTCCTCCCTGATCTCTTCTAGCACAAAATCCCAGTCTGTTACTTGTACAGGAACCGGGTTAGTAGCTAGCCATCTTCCTGGTATGATCTTTCGGAACCACTCATCGGGAAAATATCGTATGAGTACTGCTATAGGAATCGAGAAGAAACCGAGCACAATTGAGTATCCCCATTGAGCACCGGTGAGATGGACAACTTGTAGTGCTCTGCCGCCTACCAGGACTATGATGACTTGTCCAACAATCATACTGAGGTTTATGGCTACAAAGAGCCAGTTTCGGGTGATTCCCTCGAAGATGTTTAATTTGTTGTCGATACGACGATTGCTTTGGCATGTTAATTGAGTCTCGGAGTTTTAAAAGGAAGAAGTCTCCGGCTTACTTGTATTGATTGAAAATCTGCATCCAGACAAACGTATTGAAGACCATAGTTCTCAGTTGTTTCTTTTCCTGGTCCGAAGAATACGAAAATATTGCTTCACCGCCGAAGTGCATTATCAGCAAAATAACGAGCTTGTATATTGACTGGCCAATGATCATTTTCCACATGGTGACTGTGATCAATGGGGATGATCTCGGATCGGGTTTCCGATCAAGGATACTCTCGGTGGGTGGATCTGTTGCGAGTGCAAGCGCACCCATTGTGTCCATAATCAAGTTGACCCATAGCAGCTGGACGGCTGTTAGAACAGATGTTTCGGTATTACTTGCAACTGATGATATGAATGTCAGGACCACTGCTGCGATGTTGACCGTGATTTGAAACTAGGAAGTCAAGTTAGTAAAGAATGGTTCTGAATAATGCAAGATTAACAACCATTAACTCACCTGCAAAAACTTCCGAACAGCATCATTAACTGCCCTCCCCCACATGACAGCCTTCACAATAGAAGTGAAGTTATCATCCATGAGCACAATATCCGATGCCTCTTTGGCAACTTCCGTTCCCGCAAGTCCCATGGAAAAGCCTACATCAGCCATTTTCAATGCTGGAGCATCATTCGTACCGTCTCCAGTGACTGCTACTACAGCACCGGTTTCTTGAAGAGCTTTGACGAGAGTCTTCTTGTCTTCGGGGCTAGACCGGGCGAGGACCTGTAGACGTGGTATGACGCTGCTCATTTCTACAGCTCCCAAGTGTCGGAAATCGTGGCCTTCCATGACTAGACCATCTTCCATAAGGATGCCGCATTCTTTGGCGATCGCTTTAGCCGTGATCAAGTTGTCACCTGTGACCATGCGGACCGTGATGCCGGCTTTCTGACAACGCTGGACTGATTCTTTTACTCCTTTCCGCAGAGGGTCTTGAATCCCTACAATTGCGAGCAGCGTCATGTCGTTGAATAGATCTTCGAATCCATGTTGGAGGTATTCTTCGATCGTTTCACCCTTGTGAGTAGGCAGCTCGTCGATATCGCGGTATAACAACCCAATCGTCCGGAGAGATCTAGTGGCATATTTTTCTATGGTGCGACTCAGGTGAGCCATAGTTTCAGGAGTGATAGTACTAGTAGAATCGTCAATCGCAGCATTTTGGATAATTCTTGTGCACCTCTTTAGCATAACCTCCGCAGCTCCCTTGGCATAAATGCGGAAACAATTGTCGGTTCGGACCACAGTTGCCATGTACTTTCGACCGGAATCAAATGGTACCAAGTATACGGTGTTGCAATTTGACCGTTCGGTATTGACAGCTCCCATCGCTAGTGATGCATGCGCGAAGTCTAGGAGGGCAGTATCTGTTTTGGACCCGACAAAAGCTAGATAGCCCTTGTCTTGGACTTCAAATGCCGTAGAGTTGATTGCGATGGAGTCTTTCAGGAGGGTCTTGATAGGCTGAGATATTAATTGTATTGACTCGCTTGGCGAAAAGGCAGCATCTTCGCTACCTTCGTCCATGTCCTGGCAGATGGAAATCGCAACGACAGTCATGACGTTCTGAGTTAAAGTTCCAGTTTTGTCGGAACAAATGGTGGTGGCATTGCCCATCGTCTCACAAGCCTTCAGATACCGGACTAAGTTGTTGTCTTTCAGCATCTTCGTAGTAGCGAAGGCCAAAGCTAGAGTAACGGCAAGAGGAAGACCTTCTGGCACCGCAACCACAATGACCGTAATGGTAACGATAAGGATTTGCAAGAACTGTTGCGCCTTTCCAGATGAGTCCAACTGGTTTTCTTTCAACTGTGCCAGGAATTTTATGAGTAAGGTGACGAGTAACAATAACGCGGAGGCACTTCCGATTTTGGCAATTTGATTTGCTAGCCGATTCAGTTTCAATTGAAGTGGGGTGACCTCAGGGCCTTCGTGAAGAGATATCAAGACTTTTCCGTAACTCGAATGGATCCCGACAGCAATGACCAAGAAAGTGCCGACCCCTTCACTCACCTTGCTCCCTGACAGAATAAAGGGGTCCATCTTGGCGAGATCTTCCCCTTCTTCAATAGCCTTGAAGACACTGGCGCCAGAGTGTTTTTTGACAAGATTTGACTCGCCTGTAGCGGAAGATTCGTCACATCTGATATTGTATCCGTCGATCAAAACTCCGTCAACAGGTACCATGTCACCAGGCTCGAGGCGGACGATGTCTCCGACGAGGACATCAAAAACGCAAATCTCCTGTGTCTTGCCTGACCGGATGACTTTGATGACACGGTCTTGTTTTTTCTGATTCAGCTTGGCGAATTGTCGTTCTTTCTGCCAATCGTTCAAGGCTCCGACTACGACCACAATCAGGATGGCTACTGTGATGGCAACACCCTCAATCCACTCGACTTTCGCCTCGCCTTCCTTATGTGGCTGCCCAAAGGTTTGGTAAAGGCCCACCCCTAGAGATATAACAGCCGCAATGCTCAGTAGAATGAGCACTCTGTCATTATATGCCAGCCAGGCAAGTTGCAGGAGGCTTTTGGACGCTTTCTCTGGAAGCCGATTCTCCCCAAAGATTCGTCTCCTGTCTGCGAAGGAGTGTCCTGGGACATTGGAGCAAGTTGGTAGCCTTGGGACCTGGTAATCTTTGCTTTGTTGCGGTAATGGCTTTCCAGTAGCATGTGCAATCTTTGGCTCCTCCAGCGAAATCATTTCGTCCAGATATGTCTCATCTGAACTCAGACCACTTCGTCGATCTGCTCTCAAGCCTCGTTCCAATCCATCAATCCCTCCCAGGGCATAGAAAGCCGATAAACTTTTTGGATCGATGAGTTTTGAAATTTGGTCAGGCAAGAAGGCAAATTTGTTGTCAGTCAGCTCGATTGGGTCGTGGGTGCTTGAAATTTTGAGAATATTCTTCGTGAAAGTGGGAACTTTCTCAAACTGAAGTGGATTCATGGGCTGAGATAGAGGTGATTTTTCTGAACCCATTTTTTCGCCTTGGTTGTTCATATCAGTGTTGCTAGCCATGAGAGATGTGATCTAGGACTAATGTGATATCGTAGATTTGAAAATTGAACCGTTCGTGTCGACATTTTGTGAAGATGGCTGATACTTGATCAACAAAAAACTTATCCCAACACCCATCAAGCTGCATAGCCCCGGTCTAGCCGTGTACGTGACGTTATCGGAGTCGTTACGTCTCCAAGAATCTAGTACAGTCACGAACGTATGTTTGTGGTAGGCTCACGCCGCTGAGCCATAAAGTACCGAGGGCTTGGTTCACTGTTCCGTCTCGGCCCCCAATTTTGAGTGGCTGGATTATCATACAAAATTCAGAGAGTTACCTTGGCATGTGACCCAGTGGTCTGATCAACACCTAATAGCATTTGTCAGGACACCTGGGCATGTATACTCGCGGCAAATACGTAGTACAACACCACGGTTACAAATTTTTATTTTTTTTATTTTTTTAATAGATATAACCCGATTTCATGTGTATTGAGAAATCTAAGGGAAGTGGGAATCTACATCGAGGAGGACTCGTCTTTCCCGCAGGGCGGCCATTTCCCATGCATATTTTGATATGCGTATGCGCCTCTTGGTCACAGCAGGCACCAGATGCTCTGATTCCAAGCCTCCCTTCCTCTGCAAGCCATCCAAATAATGAGCCAAGATGACGCGAAACACTAAACTCACTTCACATCGCGTTGGTTGGGAATGGCCACCCAAAAAGAGAGAAAGTGGTGTGATTACCGTGGCACGTGACCTCCGTGTAACCACGAGACTGATGCATGGGACCACCATTCCAACCATGTGGAACTCGCCTGACAGTGTAGCCATTAAGTAGTCCAGCACTGCATGAAGGTGGTTATACCTGAGCAATGTGGCGGACTTTTCACTGCAGTAGTTGTATCACGACAATTCACCTCGCCTATACTCATCTTCCAACTCAATATTTCCGTCTCGATGCCTCCACTTTATCAACAACAAACAATCATTCAGAGACAAGAGGATTCCAGCACGACTAAAGATATAAATCTAAAGCCGTTTATTCTTTTGGCTGCTGTAATCATCGTTGCCTGTTTACTCTTTTTGTAAGTGTCCCGGCTGTTCCCCTTGCAGCCTTCTCAGTCTGATCAGCATCAATTTCAGGCATATCCTCGAAAGACGTAGGACGCGAGCGGCAGCCGCCAAAATATCTCCACCTCCCCTCCCGAAAGGTAGCTTGGATCAATTCGTGCCAAAACAACTGTACCGAAAATGGCTGTGTGTACATCGACAGAATGTAGAGGGAAACACTGAAGCGGCATGGGCAGAACCTATATGGTATGAAACTCTAATACATCAAAGCCAACAAGTTTGCTGATTCTGGATTCAGTGCCATTTGCCTGGATAAGATTCAAGGCAAGGATATGGTCCGGGTATTAGGATGTTCACACGTGTTCCACGCTGCGTGCTTGGAGCGCTGGTACTCTCGACGGCATGATCTGTGTCCGCTATGTAGGGCTTGTTATATTGCGGAGCCCTCTGCTACGTATTCAAATAACGTCTAAAATGCTTGCCACGGTTGACAGCCTATGATACTTAATTGCGGTGGTACTTCGTACATAGAATTAATGCACAAAGTTGGCGGTCCGTTGTATTTTGTACTTGTTGATACCAATGAAAGGGTGTCATCCTAACTGTGCAGTACCTTTAATATCTGCTCCTTGTCAAAGCCTCTTGGTTCCGGCCTCGCATTCTTTCAAGATCTCTAGCCAGTCATGTCATCCACAGGAGTTGATCTTCTTACCGTAATGCGATGTGAAGTACTGTATAATCCGTCTAGTTGTTACATAATGACTCGTTACATAGCTGATTGCATAACAGCCCGTTGCACAACCATTTGTTATACCACAACCCGTTGCACAGTGCTCTGTTATATAACTACGTATTGCACAATAGCCTGTTGTATAGCCATTTGTTGTATAATAATTGATTGTAAAACGCCCTATTCTATAATCACTTATTGCACAACCGCTTGTTGTATAATAAATCGTTCCGGGACAATATCCGAGATTCCAGAATTTTGGGTCACGAGATGTTGAGACAATGCGATCACCTTTGCGCCTAATGAAATCAAAACAAGAAAAGAAAGTAACTAAACAGTCCCTCACGATTCAGCTCTCGTTCTTGCCTCACACTGGGGTTGGTTGGTGCACTTGAAGGTTGGGTCTGCTTTGTGTGCAGTGACGCTGGCTGATTTCGAGAACTGATTTGTGGCTGCCAACCGGGCAGCCCTCCCTGCGTAACCCGCCACCTACCTTTCCAGTCACTACAGTGAACCCCTCCCACGAGAGTGACTTAGATATAGCAAACACGAACAAGAGATCTATATATAAAATGAAACGTAGCCTATTTTGTCGAACGCACAAACCTTAGTTTACAAAGCTTGACGCCGTGCACAATCTGCACATAGCCTTTAAAATCCTCTAAGTGCTTAAGAACAAGCCCTTAAGACTTGCACGCTAGGTGATAACACTTTATCTTAGCGTGTAAATCTCGTCCTTTAAGGTGAATCTGTTTAACGTGATCTATCATCTTTGCAAGGCGGCAAAAAGAGCCTATCCGCTCTTTATAGCTCTTTGATTTGTCGCTAATGCAGATCGGGCACTAGTCTTTAGCAAGCTTAAGAGAGAATAGCTCGAGATCAGGCGATTCCTCTTTAACGAGAAGTGGCTATAAAAGAGTAACTTAAAGTCGGTACTGTTAAGGCACTTTGTGACGGCAGCAAAGGGCGACTATAAGACCGGCAGAGTAGATCTAGCGCGCGACAATGTCTTGTAGGGAGATACTCGCGACATAAGTGTAGATAAGTTCGGCCAGTTACGCCCGTTTAGGGATCTAATGTTCAACTACTAGCTTAATATACTCCTCTTTTTACTGTCTATTGTTCTGCCTTTTGATATCTTTTACAAGGCGACGGCAAAAGTAGTTAGCTTAGTACTCTTTAAAGATGATATTTCGCCGCTAGGTTTAAGCAGTACTGATCTTTACGGTAAGACGTCGAACTTCCGCCTTAAACTTTGTTCTTTAAATCTTGTAAGCTCTAGCTTTTAGCTACGCTTGCTATTGCTTGAGATCAACGATACTTAAGTCTAAGGGAAGCGTTGTAAGAACGTCGTCTAGCACGTAAACTAAAGCGCGAAGATCATATATCAGGCTTATATAAGTAAGCATACGTAAGATGTTGTCTGTAAAGGGTCGCTTAAAGACAGCAGATAGGACGTTAAACGGCACCTTTTCATTAATGTAGGCTCTATTATACACCGCCGAGTTCAGGTTGTGTTACATAACCTGATCTCGAACCACATCCGTGGCAGTACCTAGACACAGAAGAAAGGCCCTGTTAACAGAGTGGTCTATGCTTGTGATGTCACAGAATACTTACAGTCAACGACGTTAGCTGTCTCACAACAGAAGCAATAGCTAGTCAGCTTCTTTAAGAAGCCCGCCGCAAGTCTAAGGCGGTTCAAGCAGTCCTTAAATTAAGAGTAGGTAAAAGCAGGCGTCAGAGAGGTAACCACACCGTCAACTACTCTCTTATCCTGACGGAAAATTGGAGTCTTAAGTATTTCTTTCTTTTAGGATAGTAGTGTAGACACAACCAGGCCTCACACCTTGTGCTTAAAGACCTGCTTGACTGTAGTCAGGCTTAGTGCCTTAAAGGCGCTATCTGTGATAGCCAAAGAGACAAGGTAAGTGATCAGACAGAAGATTAGGTCGTTTACTTTAGTGAAGAAAAATATCGTGCTGGCATAGTTTGTTAGTTCGCTTTTAGACATATAGTAGAGAATAAGTTCGTTGACTTACAGCTTTAGGCGTCTCTTGGCTCCCTTATAGTAGGCAAGCTTGACCTCTATCGCAAGCACATCCCGCTTTCCCGTTACAGGGTTCTGCACAACTAAAAGGCGGACATCTTCGTAGTAGAGCGCGTCGAATTGTCTGAGTTCTGTTTTAACATTGCTTATACTAACATCGTTATTAGAGCTACTGCTACTGTTCTCGGAGCCTAAGTCAACAACAGCGCTATTGTGATCATTGAAGCCAAAGTCGGCATTAGCGCCAACTTTATCGTCTTTAAAGCTCTTATCGTTCACATCTCTAGCGCCGGTCTTGTCGTCTTTAAGGCTAGGCCACTACTACTACTTCTTTTTTTTTGCGTCGACCAGCTCTGTAAGTTAGCACCTTATGGCAAAGAGGAGAAGCAAGATCAGTGCGAACTACACGTGATGTCGCTCTGTCAGGAAGGTAAAAGTGTCGCGTGCCTAGTAGTGGTGGAGCAAGAGCAAGAGGTTGTCGACACTAAAGACAGGCTTTTCCTTGACTGTGATATCAAGATTGTAGTCCCTTGTCAAGGGACCGTAGATCTACTAAACAAATGTTAGCATCCTTAGGTTAAATTTAAGGATCAAAGACGGGTGCCCATACACGAGAGCTTCTTTTACATCATTGGTATCCATGTGGCGGCCGTTCTATCAATTGAAGAGCATCTTGAACCGCAGATAATATTGGTGAACCGTACTCTTCTTCTTTACCCGATCAACCTCGTAGATGTGGATGAGGAATGCTATTGTAGTCCCTTTAGAACAATTCCGGACTATCGTGCGCTAGGGTGGTCGCTTGGGTAGATGTGCACAGAACCTACCTTCAGAGTCAGACCAGCTACGTACTTCACATCGTGGATTAAGTATTTGCCCTCTTACCTGCTGAACTTGTCGATGATGTCCTGAAGGTTGTCTTTCGTAGAATTGGCATAGTTAGGCTTGACGGTCGTCTCGTTGTGTTAGTCGATCAGATTCTGGTAATATTCGGGAGGGCGGGGTTGGATCTTTGGTTTAGGACGACGACGTTCAACACGATCATTGAGGCGTGCGAGATTTGGCTTGGGGGTTGGGGGCAGCCGCAGATTGGCTGTGGCATAGTTCCTGGGGACCATCGTGAAGGGAGGAGGATCGTTCACTCCTGTGGTGGGGAGCCGAGAGCAGAATGTCGTCGTGCGAGGTGCTGAGTCGAGAGGTGAGAGAAGGGGGGTGGGGGTATATATGTGAGGACGAATAATGGGCAGTGCCATGGTGACTGACCAGAGGCCCCCCCCCCCAAAACGGGGGGTATGGAGTCAGAGAGTCGAGAACTGGGATCAGAGAAACAGAAGAGGTCGATGTTTGGGCGTAACGAAGATTAGCCGCCAAGCGCCTTGGGGCGCGCACGTGATGAGCTCTGAGGTCTTGGAGCAAACCCGCCGAAAACAGTAGGTCCAACACCACAACCCCGTGTACGACCTTTATATATTATTCTTATAATATTCTAGAAGGTTCAAGTTCATTCTATTAATATTATGATGATGATGAAGTTTATTCGCCCGGTCCTAAACCTAAAGGGCCCTAGTCTATATTACATAATCCACTTCGTTCAGTGTTTCCATGACCTCCTGAAGCCCATACGGAAATGCCTCTTCCAGTGTATTCCACTTTCAGTAGTTGCCTTGATCAAACGAGGTCTCGTGTGTGGTTAGTAGCAAGTGAGCTTGAAGATCATTCCTCCAAGTATTCAATATCCTATCGTCGGCAACTGAAGCGAGACCTGCTGGGGACACGAGGGTGCTGGGGGTTAGTCGGGGTGAGAGAATGAGATGGGATTTACTATTGTGGGGTGTTGGCTGCCTGTTCTACGTCCCATGTCTAGTCGTCCTGTGGCAATGGCAAACTTGATCGTTGCTCGTACTGCTTCCATATTTGGTGTCCATGTCTCCGGGTCAGATGGTGCTTTCCCACCCAAGTAGAAAGAGAGGTTGCCTCTTCTTGTGTCTGTCTGTGCCAGCATTTGTGTTCGGTATGCATCCCATCTCGCGCATCGGAAGAGGAAATGCTTGACGGTTTCCCTTGCTTGGCCGCATTCGCATTGATCCGATTCTGTTGCTCCAATCTGGTGGAGGTATCCATTAAGTCGTGCCATTCCCGTTCGAAGCTGCGCCAATACCAGGTATAATATTGCATTGGTATACTAAGATCTAGTCTGTTCTTTTAAGCCAATACAACGGAGAGATAGGCAAATTCCCTCCCATGCTTTCCCAGCTCCTTATCCAGCTCACTAGTACTCTCATTCCTAGATGTCCGCAGATCCTTTTGCCTTCAAAATCTTAGCCTTTGGGGTTCCAGCACAGCCAAAACCTTCCCCCACACTCATATACCCGTTTGCTCCTTAAGCCCACCCTTCAGGCCCAGTTGCAGCTCTGTCAAGTCCCCTTGGGGTCACGGCATAACAACCTTCCTGCTCTTGTGAACCGACATGCGCATCCGTCCTCTCGGGCTATACTGACAATGTTGTAAGGATCTCTAGTCAGCAGCCGATGGCGACACACCAACCTTCTTCCTAGCCATCGTTGCCATAGTATACCTCAGTCCACAAGTTGGCGTGATTTCTTGCTTCCTGATACCTAGTATCCTCTCGTTCTCTAGGCCGACCATGTCTTGCAGATAGTCCCTTTATACACTCAAGCCTGCAGCGCATAGTCTTACTATCCACTAACCAAAGTATCCTCCAATTCGAGGTAGGGAGCCAGCAACCGATGGCGATACACCTTAGCCCTAATCCCACAAATCAAATTCCACCCCACAGGTGTCCTGCTCGATTTCGGTTCGTGCCTCTGAGAGGCTCTGTAAACTTCCCTTAGGGTGACAGCATGAGAGGTTGCAACCGTTATCGTCGGATGGTTTTTAAATCGTTCCTGTGCCAAAGGGGCCTCGAGGCCGCCGGAATTGCGGTGGAGGCAGGCCGCAACGCCGTGGACTCGTTTCCTCTGGTCGTAATTGCGTCTCTCATTGGCTCTGGAGTAACAGAGACTCCAGGTTCGTAGCCCACGCCTCGTACAGGCTGAGAAATCCGACTTCGTGGGCCCAGGTCCGATAGATCGGTTACGGGAACGCATCCAATCCAGAAGCGGGAGCTAGCTCACTAGCGCGCAAGTGCATGCACCCCACCATTCTGAGCTTTCGCTGCAGCCTCATCTCTTTTCTTCCTCAACAACAACAACAAACAATTGTCAACCTCCACCACAACTCCAGATTCGCGTCGCAGATATTGTACCAATCCCAAAAGACCCAAATACCTCATTTCTGGAGTTTGGAGATCTGCGGAGTTGATTCGACGCCTCTGACGCGTTTGGCGCCAAGTCGAGTCCACTTTTCTTCGACACCTCTACAACTGTCTCCTCCACAACTCTCCTTCACAGCCAACCTTAAATTCCGTTATAGCCAAAGGCGTTGATCGAGATTCTAAATCTCAGCAGCAGCAGAAGCACCGAGCTTTCGCACTACATCAACTCCGCAACAAGCAAAACCAACCTCCCAACGACATCAAACGCCCGGGAAGACAACAATGGTTAGGAACTTGGTCCGTGGCCGTAGAATATGTTAGACATCGATCGCTGACCTCCAGTTTGCCCGGCGATAGGATCAGCAAGGCAACCAGTTCGAATTGTCCGCACTTGGCACTACTACCTGCGGATACAATTGTTATCTACGTTAACATTCATTTAGAGGGGAGGGGGGATAGTAGGCCAGAAACTCTATCCGCTGCCTCCTGCAAACATACAAGCTTTCACCCACTGAACAGGACATGCTTCGTATCAGGGGTAATTGTTCCGTCAAGAACGAGGGAAGCTTTACTCAGACTAGTAGAATTCCTTATATCTAAGACTGCTGATTGGATTGTTGGTCCTTGCACCGGAGAACTTTACGAGAAGGCTTGGCGGAACAGATCGCCGAGGGGGAGGTAGCACAGAGTCCGAGACAGGCAAACTACAGGGGACTTTTCGGAGCATCTAGACTTTTCTTGCAACCGTTCCCGGTGATATCTCATGGTTCGGCCTGGTAGCTCTGGCCTACTGGAGGCCTCCGCCGCCTCAAATAAAAACCTACGATGCTTTCATTCAAGCCCGTCCGGTTCCGTCTGAACACTGCATGCGTCCAGGATGCAGACTTGTGCCGACGGTGTCAAAATTGAGTTGGCATCTAGACCCAGCTATTTCTCTCCATTCTAAACCGTGTACTTGATCACGAATCGACTTTCTCTACGCCCTCATCTCGTCTTGAAATGATCCGAAGGAAAGAAGATGAAATGCCTCGACCGCCTGCCTCGATTCCCGACATACGTGCAGCGCAGTTAGGAGTGCAGCTTGCGAACAGAAACCTACCGTACAGCTTACTATTCCGATCTTGCAATCGAAACCTTGAGACTGCAACATGATTCAATTCAAGGTATATTCACGTGGGTGTGTAGAATCTCAGGAAACGTGAACGTGAATTGATTATTTTCATGACAGCCATTTGACTACATTACATATCAAAAGAAACTCACTACCTACGCAGCAACCTTGATCAAGACCGTCTTGGTCTCGAGGAAATTGTCGATGCTAGTGAGATAGCCCTCTCTGCCTACACCGCTGGTCTTCCATCCACCGAATGGCAAGTCGTGAGGTACTGTTGGAGATGTGCAATTGACGCCTACTGTGCCTGCCTCCAGTCCCTTGGCGAACCGCATGGCGCGGTTGATATCTTTCGTGTAGACGGCAGCGTACAATCCGTAATCGGTATCGTTGGCCTTCTTCAGGATCTCCTCTTCCGTCTTGAAGGTATTGATGACGACGACAGGGCCAAAGATTTCTTCCTTTGTGATCTTCGCGTCCTCGGGGACGTTGCTGAAGATTGTGGGCTTGATTACGTAGCCTTGAGCGTTGGGGGGGCTTTGGCCTCCTGTGATAAGGGTCCCTGATTGCTTTCCTGCTTCGATGTAGCTGTTGACGATCTTGAACTGCAGTTCGTCGGCAACGGGGCCGTGGTTGGTATTTGGGTCGGTTGGGTCACCAAAGCTGACTGACTCGAAGTGCTTCTTGAAGAGAGCGATGAAAGGCTCCGCAATGCTTTCTTGAACGTAGACTCGGGAATTGCCCATGCATGACTGCCCACTGTTCCATTGGATGCTGTTCTTGGTCTCGGCGGCAGCTAATTCAATGTCTGCGTCGCTGAAGATAATAGCGGGGGATTTTCCTCCAAGCTCAAGCAGAACATTCTTCAAGTTAGAGTCGGCAGCGGCTTTCTGGATCATGCGACCAGTGCGGGTGGATCCGGTGAATGAGAGAGCACGAACATCGTTGTGAGATGAGAGAGTAGATCCTGAAATATGGCCGTGTCCAGAGAGCACGTTGATGACTCCTGGGGGAAAGCCCGCCTTCTCAACCAAGGTTGCCATCTTGGCAGACTGATATATCGAAGTTAGCGAGCGAAGAAGATGTAAAATTTGGTCAGGTGACACTTACGGTCAGAGGCGCCTTCTCACTGCTCTTCAGCACAACCGTATTGCCTCCTGCAATAGCAGGGGCGACTTTGGAAGAGAAGAAATAAAGTGGGATGTTCCAGGGAATAATAGCAGCAACGACACCAAATGGCTGCTTTAGGGACATGTTCACAAAGCCAGGGGTGTTCAAGCTAGAAGACCCCTGAATACTGTAACCGGCCTCAGCAAAGTGGTCGAAGTTCGACGCAGCGACCCAAGCGTCCCAGTAAGTGCTGACCGGTCTCCCCATGGAGATAGCCTCGAGATAGGCAAGGTCTTGAAAGTTTTCGCGGATCAAGCCAGCTAACTTCTTCATGTAGGAGCCACGCTCCTCAGGTGAGAGAGCGGCCCAGCTGGGCTGGGCTGCCTTCGCCGCGGCGACTGCAGCATTGGTGTCCTCCACGCTGGCTTCGGCCACTGCACGACATCAATTTGGCTGCATGAAAGAAAAAGCAGTTACAGTATTGGAGCCACAACAGACCTTCAGCAACGACGGCTAGAGTCGCGGGGGACTTAAGCGGGAAAGTTTCACCAGAGGAAGCCTTCTGGAACTGGAAGCATCACAGATTCGTCAGCCAATCGCCCCAAAAAGAAAAGAAAAACAACGATCTTGAACTGGAGCCTCACTTTGCCATTGATGAACAATCTTGTCTCGATCTCTGGGGCCGACATTATGCCTTCTTCGTTGTTGTTGTGCTGTTGCTGTTGCTGTTGCTGTGTTGTTGTTGGGTTTTTGGGGGGGGGGGGGGGGGGGGGGGGGGGTTCCTTATCTTTCTTTTCTCGGATCTGGAGAGATGAACTGATGAACTGATATTGATTGAGGTAGATCTTCCCGTGGTATGTAGGGTATCTTATACTTCGATGTAGGTCCCTCTTGTTTAGTTGCCTCAACCCCGTCTTCCCTAGCTTATGTAGCTTATGGACAAAAAGTCTCTTGGCATGTCCACGTCCGTCCCGGTATTCGAGCAGCAAAAGCACTCGGCGGAGAGGGGAATGAATCTTTGTCACCGCCAGGAACGGCCAATCTCTTACAGTCCGCGCCAAGCCGTCGATATCAAGCCACACGAGGTCTGCCGAAGCCACAGGCCCCGTTCTATGTCGTCATCGGCCAATGGGAACAGAATATTATTTGTACGAAAGGGGGTTGTCAGTGGGTCTCGTCCAGCCTTGTCTTCTGCCTTAACATTTGAGGAAATTTATGGAGAAAATTCTAGAATCTCAGACTCTTGATTGGAAGAATTACCAGCTGGACTACGACGGTGGACGAGACCCACTGACAACCCCCTTTCGTACTTGTGTTAGACAAGGAGCGGCGTGTACATGGCACGTGAGCTCCGCGATTAGAAATCGGCGGCTGCTCGGCCAGGTACTGGTGCCGACAACAAACGAGACGAGACAAGTTCTCGCCTGGCGATGCAACTATCGCCGCGCCGAAGCGGAGACGGGCGGTGACCCCTAAAGGCTCCTCCGCTCGCGAGCTTGGCTGCACCTCATTGGTTATCCCCAAACGTATTGTTGATCTCGCTTCCTAGACTCCTGCCGCGCCGAGATGGGCCATCCCTTGATTTTCTCTTTTCGGCGATAGGTAAGCTCCCGACGGATTAACAAGTACTCCGAAGAAGACTTGCCATGAATCGCTTGTCAAGCACTATAGCATCTACATTCAGTCAATCAATCTCGTTGAAACCCCTCAGCGGCGTGTCTCTTGTCCTTGTCTTCCTTTCTTGTCCTGTCCTGTCCGAATCGAGCAATCTCCATCTGGCCAGTTTCACACATTTCATTCAGCATGTCCACTCGCGACTCTGCCGCCACGGCGAGCATCTCCGACTTCGAGAAAGCAGCTCCTACAGATCCAGAGATCGGTAACACTCCGGCACCACCATTCACAGAGACAGAAGACGAACCGCATGAGAAGGTCGACACGGCTCCTGCCTCAGCGGCCTCAGCATGGAATTCGAGTGATGCTCCCGATGGAGGAGTGACTGCATGGCTAGTGGTGTTTGGCGCCTGGTGTACATCGTTCTGCAGTTTTGGGTGGCTCAACAGTACGTTTGTTCTTGTCGTCCATTCTTGTCGTCGGCAGTGTCTTGGCTTGTAAAATCACTTAGGAGCTCTAAACTCTAACTAACATGTGTCTATCACAGGTATTGGCACTTTCCAGGAATACTATTCAGTAGAGCTGCTTTCGCAATATTCAGCCGGAAAAATATCATGGATCCCCTCCCTACAGCTCTTTTTCATGTTCGCCATGGTAAATTATAGTTTGCCCATGTATACTGCCTACAACCTTTTTGATCGTTTCTTAGGGCCCGATTGTGGGAAGTTTATACGATCGTTACGGGCCACGATACCTCATCATTGCTGGGTCCTTCCTCCATGTTTTCGGATTGATGATGGCGTCCATCTCAACGGAGTATTATCAAATCATGCTCGCCCAAGGTGTCTGCAGTGCCATTGGCGTGTCGCTGATCTTTCAGCCAGGTCTGTGGCCCTCTCTAAAAGATTCTTCCGCCCTTTATAATAACATCTAACCCCTCTGCAGCTTTGAATGTCATTGTCGGCTGGTTTAATGAGAAGCGTGGCATGGCCTACGGCATCCTTTCCACCGGCTCTAGCATTGGCGGTGTGATCTACCCCATCATGATCAGTCACCTTATCCCTAAAGTCGGATTTGGATGGGCAATGCGCATTGCTGCGTTTCTGATTCTCTTCTTACTCATCCTCGCCATTTTGACCGTCAAGTCCCGATTTGCTCCCAACAAGCAACACCTCAGCCGGAAACAAATGATGGCGCCCTTCTGCGAGCCTGTATTTATAGCTCTCAACGCAGGATTGTGTCTCTTCACATTCGGAATGTTCGTCCCTATTAATTATCTGGTGGTCGAAGCTACTTCGCGGGGGATGAGCCCAGATCTGGCGCATTACCTCGTTGCCATGTTCAACGCTGCCAGGTTCGTCCATCCATCGTCTCATCCCATTATTTATCCTTATATGCAAGCATTTGACTAACAGTAGATTTGGCCAAACAGTCTCTTCGGTCGTCTCCTCACCGGATTCCTCGCCGACAAAATAGGAAAATACAACGTCTTCACCGTGGCCGCCCTAGCAACAGGAACAACTACCCTAGCCCTGTGGCTTCCATCCGGGCGAAACGACGGCGCACACATCGCATACACGGTGCTATACGGATTCTTCTCCGGCGCCTACGTCTCCTTGATCGCAGGCCTGGTCGCACAAGTTTCCCCGATGAAGGAAATCGGTTTCAGGACCGGACTGGTGTTCTTCGTTAACAGTATCGGAGCCTTAACCACATCGCCTATCGCAGGTGCGATCCTGGAGAGGGAGAACGGCGGCTGGACGGGAGTGAAGGTCTTTTCTGGGGTCTTCTGTATTGCTGGCACGGCATTCGTGTTTGCTGCGAGGGTGTATAAGGTTGGATGGAAGTTGAATGCCTTCTTCTGATTAGGCAGCAGGGCAACAAAACAAAACAGCAAGCGTTCATTCACTCATTCATTCATGCATGCCGCCGCGAAGACGCCCAAACAGCACGGCGTTAAATTTTTTTTTTTTTTGGGTGGGCCTTACATATATTTATATATATATACTAATTTTTCTGTTGTCCAAAAAATAGATGTTTGGTATGTGCAAAGATACAGCTGGATAAATAGCCAATAGAATTAAAAAAAACCAAAAAAAAACCTCATATGCACAGTCAATTATTCATTCATTCATTCGCCTCCCATGTCGAGACTCCAGAAAAGCAAAGCAAGTTCCTAGGACTCGAAGGTCTCCACATCCTCAATGCCAGTCATCGAGCCCCAATACAGGAAGGCGTCCAGACTCCAGTCCATGCTCGATAGAAGTTGTGCTTGCTGAGCATCGCTTACTCCTCCAACTTCGTCAGTGGTCGCTTCTGTCGCTGTGGCAGTCTCCACATCAAAGCTTTGTTGCCCCGGCGTCTCACTTCCATTGATATTCTCTGCATTACCTCCTCCTCCTCCCGCGATCTTGCCTCCTGCTCCCGCCACTGATGCAGACTCTCTAATCTTCATTGCCTTCCCTCTCAGTCTGCTCAAGACCGTCCAATTCCACCCCGCCTCGAAGGGGGCTTCGCTCTCAAAACAAGTATTTGCTAGCGTCCACGCCCTGTCCGTTATAGGACCCTCGGGTGCCACGCACAAGTACCGGAAGACAAACATTAGCACATGATACTGTGGATATGTTCGTATGTTCCATTGGAATCCCTGGATCATGGTATCGGTTCGGAAGTGGTCGCTAATCTCCAGGATCTTGATTGCGTGGAGGAGGTCTCTCTCCGTTCCTTGCCATTCCTCGCTCGTCTGTGACTGTGCGGGCGAACCGGGAGTCATGACAAGCGTGGTTGAGGTGTGTTGTCGGAGCCATTGTTGGCGTGTGACGAAATCGAGTTTACTGGGGAGGAGCTTGCCAACGAGATAAGCCATGCGCTGAATTGGGATGTTCTGGTCGCAGTATTGTAGGTATGTGGTCTCGAAATGGGCCTTTAGCTTGTCGAACGCTTGTTGTCGAGCTGCTTCCGTCGGAGGACTGCTGTTTGGTTGAGCGCTCGGAGAGAGTTTACGGAGAACATTATGTGCTTCGATGACCATTAGGGTGAAGGACATGTCGGACCACTTTGGTCCTGATGCTGGAAGTGGCTCTTGCATGGTTGGATAGAGCTCGCTATCGTTGACATTCGAGGGCAGTGCGACATCGACAGCGCTGTCGCATGTGTATATTTTAAGACCGTGATCTTCGGTGGCGCGAGAGTCGTTGGCGACAATCAGCCACCAGAGGCGCCGCCGCATCTCGCACTCAAAATGCGGAAGTTTGAAGTTCGTACCGTCGCGGTGGAGGCCAATGGACTGGGCCGACCGAGTTACGAGACCGTTCAAGGTCCAGATAGCTCGACCTGTGTTAGAGGCGCGGAAACAAAACTATGACACATTAGCCCATGCGAAATTTATCATAGCACCTTGCTTACTATAAACAAAGTTATTGCTTGCAGAGTTATTAACGTCGGGGTGTCTAAGAAGCCTGCAGCAGCAAGCGACTGCTCCAAGCCTTGCTTGAAGGTGTTGAGGGCAGCATTCTTAGGAAGTCCGAGAAGGTTCATCACTTGGTCTGAACTCAAACTCGTTACTCCAGCGAAGTATACAGCAAATAGAAGAGCGTTGATTCCAGCATCGACATTTTCGGGGTTGCTGATAGCGCCGTAAATGATACTTTGTGTTGTTGGGATATGGAAGATCTTGAAGAGCGGGTCAACATTATTGACAAAAGCTTGCCATAGCTGTATAGCGCATTGTCGAGCCGGATGGTCGAGTCCGCTCCCTGGAGATGGCTTGTGGAAGGCAGAGAGAAGAGGATCAATATCTAAAGAAGCCGAGTCGTGAGAATGAGTCGTATCATACTGATTCTCCATCAAGGACTCGATTTCTTGTTCCTGTGATTGATGTCAAAGATCGTGATTTGCAACGAGAACGATACCAACAAACCTCTTCTAAGACTCGAGAAATGAGTGCCTCGTTGTAGTAGAGACTTGAAGTGTTCCCTTGAACCAGCTTTTCTACACTCGCCGTACTCTCCACAGAAGGAGTATTAAGGTCCAATGAGTTGAAGTCCTCGATGACAGGCCGTCCAACAGGCGGAGTATCGTTTTGCGTGATTGCAGGATCATTGAAAAGGGCACTGATAGTCCTCTCCAGGCGGGCGAGACGTGCCGAAACATCAGCAATTGTCGTCTTTGGCGGCCGCCGCAAGATCTGCTCCGGCTCGGGGTAGTAGCACAAGACATCGGCGCGGCTACAGTTCCTACACGGAGACTTCTTGTCACAACGGATCTTCCGCTGGTGACACAGGACGCAAGATCGTTCGAGTCTTTTTTGCTTCGTCATTGGTGGACCCCCCGGCGGGGTATTAGCTCTTTCCTGAGCTTCAGCCATGATGGAATGCAACCTTGTCCCGTCCCATGTGCTCGGCGCAGGCGATTTCAAGGCATCTATCAAAAGGTAAGCTTGAGTGCATGCAATAGCCTTCCCCAGAGTTCATATCCATTCGAGGTCTTTATGCCATACGATCGGACGTGCGTTCCTGGAATGCCACGACTTCAAGACAGTTTTGTTGGTGCGCAGGCTATTATTGGTGGTTTGACGGTGGATGCCAGGCACATATGTCGATCGATGGTTTGTTGAAGAGATATCCTATTGATCCACTATGGACAGACTTGCCTTATCACATAGCTTACATAATCAGGTGCTAGGCCTATTCCAACAGTGAAGAGCTTTGCTGGGTTCAATTGAAGGCTGAATGAAGAGTTACATTATTAGATTCAAGTTTCACGAAGACTCCTTAACTTACTCTTCGATTCATTCAGATTGAACATGTTGGATTCGGTCTTAAAAACTCTGAATATCTCCCCTACTTGAAGGCTTCGGAGCGGCCCTCTTTCTGCCCACGTTCGTGATCTTCCCAATCCCAATCCTCGGCTCAACAGCGTCATCGTGGAGGAACACGAGGGTTGGGGGAGCCGCCTCAAACGATCAGGAAAATTGATATATCATTACGACACGGCTTACTTATTGCTCATGACGGCGACAGGGGCTCTGGGGACATCCGCGTATCTAGGAAAAATTATGATCAGACCACCATCAGCCAGATTTGCTTTGCTTTGCTTGAAAGAACCCCAACCCTACCCTAGTCTTGTTCTCCGCCAATCGCCAAGAACTCTCATCATCGGAAAAAAATTGCCAAAGAATTTTGATAAGGAAAAAATTGTGAAAAAGCTAGCCAGCAGAAGGTCTGCAGGTACTGTAAGGGGTGAGTGAGTAGCGTGGCCATTCTCCCATCCAATCTAATCTAATTCTGCACCGAAGATTCCCATGGAAAAACCAACCAGTCTCACTCACACGTCTGTCTCATCTGAGATGCCATTTACTCACTCAGAAGTCCTTTGATCATAGGGTGGGTTTAGAGCTCTCGCAAGCAAGAAAAAGGTCGCACATCCAAGACTTATTAAAAGGTCTTGAGCAAAAACAGCCTTGCTCACTTTCGAATCAAAGATATATAGAATAAAATTTCAGATATAGCCGTACTAAATAGCTGTCCTTTCCATTAGATCTACTGTGAGAGCCAGCCTTTTCCTTGTGCACTACCATAGTACCTTAGTAGGCGTAGCAGACCACAGACTCGTCCTCACTCTCCTGCTTGATCTTCTTATTCTGGCGCATCAGAACGCATTTCATCACCAACGCGGCAATTGCAGTAGCGGCAGAGAATCCAGCACTGGAAGCAAGCGCAAGGGTGTAGCGTCCCTCGGGTAGTCCCACGGTTCAGGAGTGCCGCTAGAGGCGCAGGAACGCCGGGGGGGTAGAGTGCGAATCGCTTAAATCCATTCGCACTCTTTCGCACCTCTAACTCTTCATATCTATGGCATTGACTGCCCGTCATCTGCAGCACCGCGACGACCTTAGAAACCAGGTTGAGAGATGCCGCATGTTACTTTAGAGCTTGAATTAGACTTGAACTCAGGCCTGGATTAGGTTAAGAATCGTTCACTTTGCTGATCTATCCTCCTTGATGGTATCTTCTAATGATGTCTCATAGGTAGTGCAATATCTGGTCAGCTATATTGAAAGCCACCCTGCTACTTATTTATCACAAAGTCGTGGCAGCCGTTCGAAACATCCCACGACCGAGCTTACCTACTCTTACCTCCAAACCTGGCGAAGAGCCTGCTAAACCTCAATCCCCTCAGCATGTCATACAAGACGACCCTGATGACCCCGACGACACCCACAATCAAAGCCCGCCAGTCGTGACACAAGAGACCAGCGATGGACGTCGTCCTTTATTCTAAGCTTATGCCGAGGCAGCAGACGACTCTGGAGACGAGCAGGCCGGTGGTGATTCTCAGCATCCTGCGAACCTCGACAGTCAGCCTCCCCTTCATCACAACGATATAACAAGTCAGGATGATGCTCAAGAGAAGCATTCCTGCCGAAAGACTGTTGCCTCTCCGATCCAACATCAGCTAGACATTGCAGCTAGAATAATAAGTTGGGAAACACGATTCGACGTACATGGTAGGAGCCATGATAGTATAGGTCACCACAAGCTCGATGGATGTTGGTTAGTGCTGGTGCTGGTGTTGATGTAGGAGTTGATGCTGACGTTGATGTTGGAGTTGATGTTGATGTTGGAAGGGAAGATGTTTCTACAAGGTTGGGGGTTTTCGTCCATATATACACAACGCAAACACCTCTTCCTACCCCTCCTCCCAAATAATTTTACAAATCGCGCCAAGCAGCGGCAGACCAGGACAGGACAAGAGAGGACAATTTGAAAATGATGCTAGCAAACCAGGGAGCTTACAAAGCACCATGAGCTCGACTCGACGTAGCACAGTAGTGGAGGGGAGTGCGTGGCGTGGAGTGATTGGAGTGGAGTGGAGGTGAGTGGGTTGCAGGTGCAGGTGCAGGTGTTCCAAGTAGTGCTACTGTACAGTAGTGGTTCCGTTGCCGTTCCAGGTGCCTTAAAGGACCGAGGTAGTCCCGGCTCGTGCCCGCTCTAACTTCCAATTCCTTCGCTCACTTACTTACAGAGTACGCTCGCTTGAAAGGCGTTTGTTCTTATTCTATCTTGTAACATTCAGCCCTGAAGCTCGGCGTGATCCATCATCACAGATACTTCATTCCGCACAGTACTATGTAGGCAGAATGTTTTGGAGTGCCAGGGCTCGGCCAGCCTTGGGACGGCAAGCGAGACATGGCATTCATTGCCAGAGGTGTGAATTGAACTACGGTACTCCCATGAGGATTTCAAACAAAGGAATTTCTCAACATTATCTTTTGTAGGCTAACATTCTAGGTTCGGCCAGCCCGACTTCATGCTCCCGGAACAGGTTGGCACTTTCGAGGCAAGCTTGGCTTAGATACATTCTCGCATGGCAATCATTTAGTAGGTGAACTTCTCTCCCACGATCTCCTCGCTCAAAGCCCAGAGCTTCTCTGCATTTTCAAGGCTAGAAGCATAGTCCAACGCCTTTGCCGGATTGCAATCATCCAAGAATGCCCCTGACACACCTAGAAATATTCTATGAGCACATCCCCTAGCATGCATGTTATTTGATAGATCAGAACTTACCGTCAATTCTGGGATCCAGGGCAGCAGTTAGAGTGGTTGAGCTTCCCTGTTCGATTGTTTTCGCCTTCGGCGGCTCGACGTTCTTTTCTCCGAACATTGCTCCTATAATTGGCCATTCAGATGGATCGACGGTGGCCGAAAGATTCGTGTCCTGGATGTTGCCGGGGTGCACCGAATAGCTTTTCACTCCCTTGCTTGCCAGCTTTGTGGCCAATGCAACAGAAAAGAGAATGTTCGCTGTCTTGGATTGTGCGTAAGCCTCCCAGGTGTTGTAGCTTGCGCCGTTGGAGAAATTATAATCGTCGAATCGCATCGGGCCGAACTGGTACAGCAAGCTAGATACATTGACAACTCGGCTCCCTGTACCAGCAGCTTCAAGCTTGGGCATCAGGAGATTGGTGAGGAGGAAGTGTCCGATGTGGTTGGCGCCGAACTGGCTCTCCACACCGTCGGGTGTGAGGGAGAACTTAGTGCCCATGATGCCAGCGTTGTTGATCAGGACATCAATCTTAGCGACGGATTTTCCAACCTCTGCTGCAGCTGCACAAACGGATGCGGTCGAGGCAAGGTCAATTTTGATGAATTGCGCCTTCGTCGAGGGACTTATTTGCTGAATCTTCTCCACTACCGGGGAGACCTTAGCCTCATTACGCCCGAGGAGGATGATCGTCGCGGGATGCGCTGCTGCGAGGCAGTATGCCACATGGGCACCGATTCCACCGACGCTAGCACCAGTGATTGCAACTGTCATAGGTTAGATCACGCATCATTCCTTGCTTTTCTTGGAAGGGAAGGATCGGCTAATCGGGGAGACGCTTACAAGTCTTTCCAGAAACCTGCTCTGGATACGCCGAGACAACCTCTTGCCCAAGCGTGAAAGCTCCGAAGTTTGACATTTTACAGAATGGTTGAGATTAAATCAAGATTGAAAGTTCAGGTATAGCTGTAGTGGAAGTTTGGAAAAAGTGAGATGCTGGTTGATTGTGGCTACTCTGCATGATAGGAATCACCATATATATAATGCTTTCTCTGTTAATTATCTCCCATATCCTGCATTCGGCCCTGAGACGGCCATGTACTCTGCTTACGACAAGCAAATGACTTACCAAGATCGAGTTATCCCGCTCCGGAACGGAAACGGGAGCGGGCACGGGGAGCGATTTCGTAATATGTGCCTAGTAAGGGGCTCGATTAGCGGGATCCATCGTTTGGTCCTTCTTCTTGGCACTCTCTCGAGGCGCAAGCCTGGATCATTACACAGGGAGAACCGAGTCGGGGTTCTCAAGTTTTACAAACAGTCTGCCAGTGACCATGTCGGAAGGGAAAGCCGTTCGCGGGGTCCGTTCAGCGCCACGACGCAGTAGAAGAGGACTCAAATTACAGCAGAACGCCCTGCGAATAATGTTCGATTGTACAGGACCGACACATGATTCTATGAAAAACGATACCTTACTCCTTGGAGTCCGTATATTGTCTAGGCATATCTATTGTGGCAAAGAAAAACCTATCAGCATTATCTTGCTGAAACATCCTGGTATGCAATTAACGGCAGTAGGATTAAGTCTGAAGGAATTGCGGCCGGCGTACCACTGCCAACTTCGGTTAACTGACACGTGAAGCTGGCTCCTAATCACGAATTATCAGATTCCAGGCCTTCTTGTTCGACTCCTGAATCCCACCGACTTGGCCCAGATATCCTATTCTCTTATCAGGTCTTCTCTAAAGGCTCAAGCCCATGGCCGACATTTAGACTTGGGCAAGCCAACTACGCCGAGAGACCTTAACGATCAGCTTGCCTTCCAAGTCTGCGATACCGGAACTCTTCGTTTTAGGTAAACATTTCGAATGATCCATGCCCTCTGTCGAAGCTCGATGTTCAAAGTTGTACCTTGAGAAAAGAGATGCCACTACTTTGTAAATCTCAGTAGTTACGATATTCCTACCGAGACAAGCTCGATGTCCTGAGCCAAAGGGCATCAAATATTGTGAGCTGTTGTTACTCTCCTCTAGCCATCTTTCGGGAATGAACTTGTCGAGATAGTCCTCAAATTCGCTAGCATCGCGGTGCAAAACATGATTGCAGATGCTAACATCCGTTCCAGGAGGGACAAACTCGCCTGCGATGGTTTTGCCGCCTGGAGGGACAACGCGCATCAAAGGCAGCACGAAGACCGGTGATATCCTAAGGTTTTCCGTCACGCAAGCTTGTAGGTACGGCAAGTTGACAACGTCGCTATATGCATAGCATAAGTTGTCACCATGTCTTTTCACTGTCTTGATCTCGTTCTGCAAGCGTTGTAGAGAGTCCTGGTTGTGGAAGAGGTGCCATAGGAGCAGAGTGATGGTTGCGGCCGTTGTGTGTGAACCAGCAACGATGAACCCGAATGCTTCTGTCTGGATGTCTTTGATGTCCAAAGCGTTTCCTTTGGAATCTTGGCCTTGGTCTAGCTCTTGTAGCAAGCGACCAAGGAGGTCTTTCCTTTGAGACTGGCTTTTCATACGTCTCTCGACTGAGGCAACAGCCAGCTGTACATATCAGTATGTGCAGGAATTTGACTACTTTCCGAACCTACCTCTCGAAGACCTGTCCTGCCCTTGATCATTTTCTGTAGAGCTGGGATAGGCAGGTAGGGCACAACCTTGTTGATATATGGAATCAACCACGGCAAATGGCCAGATGTTGTACCCAGCAATACCTCCATCGAAACAGTCAGCCTCGGTTGCAAACACTCATCAAGGAAACACTCTGTAGGCAACTTACATGTTCTCGAACCGGTGGCATCAAAGTCGCATCGCCGCTTTCCAATACACCGAAAGAACCAGAAAAGGCTAGCTCGCCGAGCACATCCATCACGAAAAACGCTATCCATTCCTTGAGATCTATTTCTTCCCCAGTCGCAGCAGCTTTGTCGAGACGATGTAGCAAATGTCGAAGACAGCTATCCATGAAGGGTTCCATAGCTGCAACCGACTGCAGGGAAAAGCCATTCGAACAAGCTTTGCGTCGAGCAGAGTGCACCTCTTCATCGCGAGCGCCGAAGAGATTGGGTCGTAGTGCCGTGAATGCATCGTAGAAAGAGCTACATGTCTCGGTCAGCTCCCTGCGCACTCGACCCCAGTCGTTTGTAACGGTTAGAAGCTACTATATACCTCTTGGTAAATGCCCTTCCTGAGCCATATATCGCCTTCACAGCCGACGCATCACTGAAGTCCAAATGATTAGGTCCGATGCGAACGATTTTTCCATGCTTTCGGTGAGCCTCGAGTAGGACGTGTTCCAGGTCGCCGACGTATACGTGATATACTTTCCACAGATTTGTGAAGGAGGCAGAGAATGGACCGGGAAAAGGGGCCAGCCGGTGGAAGAAACGGGCATGTATGACAGAAGCGGTGATCCAGAGACACAGAGCAACGAAAGAACAAGTGAGCCAGCCAAGATGTAACAGACGCCATGCATGAATCGTTCCGGTCTTGTTGGAATCTTGCGGGAAGACTGACATGGCGGTAGAGCAGAGAGGCCAGATCGATGTGACAATGGTTCTGCACTGAGGATTTGTCACTAGAGACGTTCATACGTATGAAGAAGCGAAGGTGCATTCCTCTCAGGGGTGATGTCTTTATAGGGCAGGTCGGTGAGATGGCGGCCATGGGTCAATTTTAACTTTCTTCTGAGGGGTCGCATAATGTTTACTTGCGAAAGTAAGCGACCATACAAAGTTCCGGCAGATGTTTAGGACACATGTTCGGTCCGAGCTTCCTTAATTGTGGGATCAGGAGACCACCACCCTCCGGCAAAGCTGCGCCTGCAGGTGGGGCACACCAAAAAGAAAGATTTTTACAGGGTGGTTATTGAGGGTTGGGCAGCCATGTAGAAGAGCGGAAGCTCTGGAGAAGGCTGAGACTGTCAGAATAATGCTAAAGCAATGAGGGTTGCTGAAGTTGTTTCTGCCGTTGAGCGCTTCCCCGGTTCTGAAGTTTGACTGCTTGGGACGTAAGACCTATAAGGTCGCTGACGGAGTTTACGGATATCTTAGAGAGTGAGGACTACAAGGAAGATTCAAGAGTAATGGGGGTTGCTCTTGTCTTTAAATGCTGTTAAGCTCTCTTCTGATTGACGTCTAGCCTCAGTCCTTTATCTGCTATACTAAGTAGAGGGTGCTGGAATAAAGCATGAGCATGGCATGCTACTTGGGGAGATCTTTGGAGATCGGGTAGGATAGTTTTGTCTGCAGGGCTGTCTTGATCAAAGAACGTCTGTTGGTTTTTGACGGGTTGAGCGCTATAGGTTTAGTGATAGCTTTGGGAATGTCCGATGGCTCTGAAAGACGCATAAGCCCATCACTGACTTTATTGTTTGAGAGCTACTTGGCGCTGTCTAACTTTAGTTGTTTAGTGCTAGCTGAGGCCTTGAGCTAGTATGTAAGCTCGCGGATTTTGATTCTGTTGTACTATACTTAACTCTCTGACTATATCTTTTGTTAGCACTTAAGGAGTAGCGTCACATAAAAGCAGGCGCACCTTTCTACCCTCTTCTTTTTATTAACTTAAGGGAGTTAATAGTGATGTAAGTTAAGGCTTGACTTAGCAAGCGTAGTTAAGGGGGACTAGAATGCTGATTTAAAATGAACGTTAAACTCCTTTCCTAATAAGGCTATGTTAAAGGTCGTCGGCTGATGGCATGTTTAGGCCTTTAACAAAGGTTTAAGCTTTAGTAAGTGTTGGATTTGTGGGGAGATCTCTGATCTTAGGTTAGCTGGTTTTATCTTTGATTTTAAATAAGCCATTCTAACGGCTGGTGTACACTACACAGGGATGTCACTCTTAGCTGTGTGGTTGATTGAGGGAAAGTCGACTGTCCAGTCCTTTTAAGTGAGGAGATCGACGGCTTTATAGGGAAAGAATTAGGGAAGATTCCGCTTATGATAAGACTTGTACTAGCAAGCGTTGTGTTCTCTTGGAAGCTGTAGTTAAAGCCTTACTTGATGGGAAACTATTAAGGGGGTGGACGCAAGGGCAGTCTTAAGTTTGAGGCGATATGGAATCTCTTTGATTCTTGTTACATTCGAGGGGAGAAGGTTCTATGGGACTGGTGGAACTAGGGCTTATTGTTGCCTTCTGCCAGCAGATTTCCTCTTTTAGGTTGCCCTTAACAATAGATCAGAGATCTTCATTATTAGGTAAAGCTTCTCTGTCAGTGGTGCTGTTAGTGTCGGTAACGATAGGTCTTAGGGTAAACTTTAAACAAGCCGTAACAGGCACCTTAGAGTGTCTCTAGAGGGGATTCCATTGTTTGGGGAACTGAGTGGTTATTTCGGGGAAGCGGCGCTTAAACGGGAGCTGCTTGCAGCGAACTTAGCGCGTAGGGGTACGGACCTTTCACTGCTCACAAAATATACACTGAGTCATTTCGCAGACGAGGGGAAACTTACTAGCCGGTGGGAGGGGATCGAGAGCGGGAGTGAGAGCAGGGGCCGGAACGGAAGATTCTTCCCTGAGAGGATCCTTGCAGGCTGGAGCGGACGGCGGCTGGCGAGTCATGAGTTCTTTTCGCGACGCGAGCGCGATCTCGAGGTTGATGGCACAGACCTTTCGAGCAACGATGGCTTGAGAACTGAGGTTCTTGGAGAGATCGCAAAGGACCAGCTGCAATCGTGTCCGTTCTTCGAGCTGATGTTCGATAACAGGCTCGGCTTCTACCACGGTCTTGTTCAGCGGCCTGTTCAACTGCCTCTTCATCATCTCGTTATAGATATAGTAGAAGTAATCCTTCCTGTGTTCAGCCTCAAGCTCATCTTCCAGGCTCTTCGTCGCAGCCTTAAGCTGCTGGCCGAGTTTCTTGTGGGCCTCCCTGACCTCCTTGGGGGCTCGATTGATGAACGTGTAGTCCCACTTGATCCTGGTATGTGACTCTTTGATTTCTCGCTCAAGGACGACAATCTCTGGATCCGCGGCGAGGAGTCGATCCATCACTTCTCGGGGGACTTCTTTCGGAGCGCCAGGGTTGCATCGAATACTCATGTGGGTAAAGGCCCGGGTCAGCCCATCATCAGTGATATCGCTCTCGAGATAGGCGTCTTGCACATTGAATCTCACTGCTTGATTGTTGTATGCCTCGTTGAAGACCCCCGTGAAGGGATTATGTCTCATGACTTGATCCCGTACAGCGTCGGAGGCCTTACCTAAACCAGCTGTTAACCTTGAGAAGTTGACAATGTGACACAGGATACATACCATCGATGGCATTGGCACAGCCTCGGCGAAAACAGTAGCTCGTCAGCTTGTCTTCAAAGCCTGCGTCTCGCCCAAGACGGTTCAGGTAGAAGGCATACTTCGAGTAGGTCATGGGTTCGGTCTTCGACTTCACCCAGCCGTTCGTGGTCCAGACTGACCTCCGAAAGACAGGTCGCTTGAGCCATTCCGGCTTCTAATGGACCTTCATCGCCTTCACGTTCTGACTCCCCAGGTCCGTGGCAAAGAAGGGCTCAGCCGACGTGTAGCCATCGACAAGGACCGCATTGTCGCGGATTGCACGGGTCAATATGTGGGAGATCGGGCAAAGGATAGGAAGGGGATTCTCTCTGAAGAGGAAGGTCGTGCTATGAGGGTTAAGTTAGCCAGGGTTCGAGGTATCTCGGAGCGCAACATACGGTTTGGGCTTGTTATCCACCCCTTTGTGATTCTGCAAGTGGACCTCCATGGCCAGCAGGTCTCTCTCTCCCCGCTTCGGGTTCTGTACGATCCAGAGACAGATGTCCTCATAACAGAGCGCCTTGTACTGCCGCTTGACCTCCTCGAACTCGCTAGGCTTTGCGGCGTCCAAGTTCTGGCGCAGAGGCTCTCCACACTCGTCGATCTCGGTCGTGTAGCACTTGTCCGTATCCTCTGTCATGGTGACATCTGTCCTGTCGCTGTTGTAGCCGCTATCTGAGCCGGAGAACTCGTCCATGTCTTCGTCGGCGGTGCCGTCATCGCTTCTATCATCCTCAAGAGTCGAATATCATCTCGTCGTCGGATCCAGGGCTATCGTCAGCGTTGCTGTCATCGTCGCACTCGGTCTCGCCATCAATGTCGGCATCACTGTCCTCGTCGTGATCACAATGCTGTTGCAGAAAACTTGGTTGATAGTTCACGGTGGTGATGGTGATAGTATGGTACATTGAACCGTAATATAGAAATCTCGTGAAATAAAAGAAGAGGAATTAGAAGAGGAGTTTGAGTTCACAGCCTTTGCTTTGAACAGAGGCGCCAATGCTCATCTCGCGTTTCCGCTTCACCCATGATTGGGACCGACACTTCCTTTCCAAGACCTCCATTATCATATCTTGACCGTTAGCAAGTTCGCGAATGACATGGTCGTCGACTTCGACCTCCAGGCCCCCAGGGAGGATGCGTACTAGCCGTGCAATATTGGTAGGTTCGAGGTCCCATTTCAAAGCAATGCTCTTCGTGAATGCCTTCACCGTTCGCTCGGTGAGGTAGACGGCCCGGTGATATTGGGGATCTGGCTGCCGCGGATTGCGATGAAGGATATAGACGCAAGCCACAGGCTTCACGGTATTATCAACTGGAGGTTTATAGAAGGGATCCACGCCAACAACTTCAATGTATCCTGTCAGACGGCCGGCATCATTCGTCCTCCAAACATTCGTGAGTTGACTAGACACACCACCCAGCTGGTGAGAATCCAGCACTTTCACACAAGGGGCTATTGTCGGCTGACAATCATTCCCTTCCGGCGGAAGGCCTTTGCCGGTCTCTCGAAGTGATTGAGAAGTCAAACTTGAAGAAGGCGACACCAGTGACGCGGTTCTAGTCTTGCTGCCTTGATCATCGCTTGCCTGCTGCCAGAAGCCTTCATATCTAGAGCCTCCCCTAGCGGGATCCAGAGATTTGCTGGTCAGAGTAATCAGAGCGAGATCTGGGTCATCCTGATCTGAGCCAGGTATACAGAGTCTGCTCACAGGACTTGCGCTCGATAGTAGGTATACCATGATCCGTAGCAAAGAGCTTGGATCTTCGACGGGGACATCACAGCCCGTAGATCGGTTTGACGCTGTCGGCCGCGTCCACTTGTTCCTAGGGATCCTTCCCAGTGTGGAACGTTGCTGTTTCTTGCTAGAGACGCTGCCCCGTCGTTTTTGACCTTCAACCTCACCCACGCATCTGTCACCATCCGCCACTTGCCGCTTAAGCTTATCAATGGTGTTCATAGCTTGAGCGGTGTCATTAGAGAGCTTGCGCTCTGCTCCGTGATCTCTGAAAACCTTCACTTTGCAGAAGACCAGCTCTGCATGACCTGGGACTGACCCACTTGATCGAGCCTCTGTTTTGGCGCATAACCGCAGAGAGGCGGCTTGTACACCTTTGGAGCGAGTGAAATCAGTCGAGAGGAGGTTAAAGCGTACACTCACATTACATCCAAGGGCATCCTCGTGAGCAGGCATCCAGATTACGGAGAAGCCGTCGAAAGAAGCCTTGTCAAAGTCGACTCGGGTCCCCTGATAATCGTTCTCTACCAGGAGGCCTTCAACCAACTCGATCGCTCGAAGTCTGCCATCTCGATCGAGCGCGTCGCGGGTTCCGCGAGTCTCCTCCCAAATTTGCCAACGAGATGCAGATCCCTGCCGATCCTGTTCATCGTCGAATGATATGCGAATAGAGGTGCGGTAGTGAGTTCCCGGAAGAAGCGGCTTTGTCTCTACGGTATCGACGACTGATATGCAATAGACTTGCCCTTTGTTGAGGTAGGTGACAGGGACGTCATTAATATGCTCAGCCATGGCCGTCGGCGCGTGCAGGGTGACCTGGAAGCGGAGCTCCCCCGCAGAGGCGGGAGTCGAAGCCGCCATGCCTATATCGTAGTTCCCAGATGGAGCTTCTATCCCCGCACAGTGGTTCTGCATAGCAGCTTCCACATGTCTTGTCAAGCTTTCGTCGTTCTCCAACATGGATTGTTCCATCGTCCAGGACCTAGTGTCTTCGAGTATAGAGGAAGACGGCATATGAGCCGCTCGCTGCTGTTGCTGCGCATCGTCGAAGGAGTTGGTTTCGTGAGATTGCACAATGGATTCGACCGCAGGTATATCTATCATCGAACTATTATGAACATTGCCTTCCACCACTGAGAACGATTGGGGCAAGTCTAAGCCATAGCCAAACCCCACCCCGGTATATAGATTATCAGGCTGGCTGCGATAGAGGGCTAGCGTAAATGCGGACTCGCAGGATTGCTTGACGGGTGCGACGTTGGACGAGTTGAGCGACAAGCACGACGTCGCGAAGCCCCAAGACTCGCATCGTGGTGTCGTAAATTCCTGCTCGAATATATCTCCATCCTCAAGATATTGCCATGTGCTGAGGGCAACATGTCAGTAAATTTCCGCGCCAGACGATAATCCTGCTTTCGAGAGTCGACGCTCGAGACTGAGTTGCTTACGTCTGTACGGTCGTGGACATCATGATGTCGAAGCAAACGCATCATTCCTGATCTGCGGCATCAACCACAATATCGCCCAGTAGAGTGTTCCCCAATATCAAGGTAATATTGGAGAGGTGAAGGTGATGGCAGGGAGTTGTGCCAATTGAGGTATGGAGATGCGATATCTACGGAGACGAGTTCCGGCACTCTTGGTGCTAGCGCAGGTCATGCAGACAAGCGACAAAGATAATGGCTGATGCTGTTCAGCTCCAGCTTGTGACTCAAATTGGTTGCAGGTCAAGGATTATCGCATCTGGTCCGAGCGCTCAGGTTTACCATTGGCGGGTTGCATGCTACGTCATTCTCGACGTCATAGATCCACATTATCTCAACTGATGTTGAGTTAGGGGCCCAATGCCTTGGATATCAGACCTTTCAGACCTTTCTCACTACCTCTCATTCTCTTTCTTGCATCGCAGCCTCACAAACATTAACACTCCAGAGCTTCTTATTACGTATCCTTATCGCAGCAGGTGCAAAGAGCCTGCTAACATGTGCTTCGACCTCATCTCCACAACCGTGTCAGAGACGAGCGACTTGTGGAATTGCTTTCTCATTAGCCTCGGCAGTCTTCTGGAGTATCTCGGCCTCTAGGATCATAGAAGCTCGAGGAACGCTGACTAAATCTCCTCTGCTCAATTAGCACGAGGTGTCAATTTTAAAAATTCGTGGTTGAGAGAGGCGTTCGTTAAACTGTTGAATCCCTCGCAGCTTTCAAGTTCAGCTCTTTCGAATCGAAGATCAATCAATCCCGCAATGATCCGCTTCGTAAGTATCAAGTTCTCTTCGCAATCACACAGAGTTAAGGTTGTATCACTAAACTGCGGCCACGGCTGAATAGTATAAACCCCTCAACGTAATCACCCTCTTTCACAAGGCGAGCTCGCCGGCGTCCTTGCGGGTCTATACTCTCCTCAAGCAAGCTTCTGCGATTGCGGGCGAACATGCTACCGAGGATCAAGCCAGTGATCACTCGCATCAGACTCTTCCGCGCCGAGAGGAGTTCGAGCTCAATATCACCGAGGATCCACCAACCCCAGAACAGCTTAAGAGCATCCTCAAGTATATTGGAACGCAGAGAGCGAGTAGGATTGTAAAGGGAGCAAAGAATAAGGCAGACGCGATGAAGAAACTCAAGGAAAACGCAGAGAACTTTCAGAAGCCAGTCGTACGTTGCGCTGCCCCTTAGTCCCTTCAAGCTCTATCGAATCGGGTTGCTGACTATTCCTATAGACGGTGGACTGGAAGAACGGAATGGCAGTGGTTGGAGATGATACATCCGAGATCTTGAAGATGGTGGAAAAGAAGACGTATATGGCCGACTAAGTCTTTCGACGGCGACTACAATAGGTGTTGGCATGTCCGTGAGGAGAGATTCCTAAGTTAGTATTCACCTCATGCTATATCGCAAGCGGCTTCCGAGCTATTGAGACAGAAAGCACATCATATTCATTGGCTAACTATTATTATGTACAGCGGCTACTTCCCCAAGAGAATATTTCCAGCTCAACGTACCTCAGTCGTTCCATTTGCTCCCAGTTTCGAATCGCAAAGTCGACATCTGAGAACGTTAGAGCCGTGGGAGATGGCAGGGAAGTTGTTAAGCTCACGCTTCGGAGCAGAATAGTTGGCTGGCGTTCGGGGCGGCAATTTGCTTTTCACAAGTCGCACTTCTGGATCATTAGATGTGCCCATCGAGGCGTCGACCGAAATTTGCTCAACTCCCCAGAACGGCAGGAAACCAATCTGTTGTGGTCGATCTATCTCCTTCTCTCACCCACCCCACGGTAGATAACTTGGAGCAACTCACAATTCTTTGCTTTTTTGTTTGCTTTTTGTGGACGGCTCGCGCAGTACGCACTGAGCTCAGTTTGATAGAGCAAGTGCGTTGTATTGATGATGTAGGCGGCGTTGAAGCATGGCTATTACTGGGATTTTCAGAGGGGCGGCCTGGCGCGTGAGGCTCGAGATGCTGATAGGCGCGATGCGCTGCATGAGTACGCTGCCTTGTTTCTACGAAGTAAAGGGTTTCTTCTTTCTTGGTAGAGGCGATAAGACATTGCTGATTGGTTGACTATTTGGATCGGAAAGATCTCCGCAATAACGTCCGTCCCTGCGTAGCGAGAAACAGTTGGAGATCAGAAGAAGAAGTGATAGCAGCATGCTTGATTGTAGAAGCTGGCTGTCTAGGTGTTCTTATATAGACAAGAGACCGTTGTTGGATCCCTGGTCACGTGATATGACTCATGTGACTATAGTCACATGAGCCATACCTGACAACTATAAGTAGTTGTCTCTGCCCTGTAGACAGTTAGAAGAATTATCACACTTGTATCCTCAGTTCAGAGCTCCAAGTACCGTAGCTGCCTAGTAGGCAGCCACATGTGATCTGGGATCCAACAACGGTCTCTTGTCTATATAAGAACACCTAGACAGCCAGCTTCTACAATTAAGCATGCTACTATCACTTCTTCTTCTGATCTCCAACTGAAACCCACCGTGCCGAGAAAAATAATAGGTACTTTGACTCCAAGCAGCTCAAACTCTATATACACATCGACATTTCCTATAATTTTATATTAGTCTATTCCGTGGCCTCTCTTGAACACTCTGAACCTTTTCATACTAGAAAATTAGGTTCGCATCGTCGCCCTTGCGCCTGATCTGCGGGCAGTCTCCTTTCATGGCCTAAGAGAGTTGTTTCACTACAGCTCCACTATTAAGCTTATACCACTCCTGATACTTATAGAAAGGTCGTATCTAAGCTTTGAAGCCTCCTTACCATATTCGAGATCGTCGTCAGCCTTGTGGCTGCTATGGCGCGCAAATTTCTACAAGTACCCCAAAACATCCAACCGATCTTCTTTTGGTATCGAGGTTCAATACAATCAGGGTGATACAACTCTTCCTCTCCGATTTTCCTTGTAACTCTGTCTTTTGTATGCCTTCCCGGTTGTACCCAAGTCTCGTCACTCCATACGACTGAAAACCACTGCTCTTCTGTCCAATCTTCGTGCTCGATAGCCCATTGAAGTCGTTGTATTCGATTCTCGTACGTAAGAGGAGGTTTGCGGCGTGCGATTCTACGTACATAACCTTCTTTCTTGAAAGCTGTACGAATTGCGTGAAGGCCACAGTTCCATTTGAGGATAGAAGGTATATCAGCCCATTGAGTACGGCGGTTCTGCCTCGAAGAAGTAACCCACTCAATAAGTCGTTTTCGTTACGGAGTATTAAGGTACGCTTTACGGCCGGTACGATGTTTTTGCAGAGTTAATCGATGAGATACAGCGTACGAGACTTGATCAGGAGCGAGGTTCAATTGAAGGGCAATATCGCTTTGAGTCCAGCCGGCATCAAAAAAGAGGGTTTGACATTGTAATCGTTGATCGCGAGTCGTCTGTTTTCGTGGGGTCTTTGGCACAGGTACACTCAATGTTGGCTTCATGTTGAATTGCAGTGATTTGGGCTCAAAAAGCGGCGAATAAGCATTCAAATATCATTGGGTGTACCCCTTGTAAAGTACCCTTGTAAAGAGGAACCTTCTACAGCATACTAGAATCGTGCACAGACGTGAAATCCGGAATAGTTTAGGCCTGTACGAAGTATGCTGCTTAAAGCCACTGCGTTTGTCATGAGACGTGCAGATCAAGCCTGTCCTACCTTCTTATAACGGTTAGCTTATCAGTTCCTCCTTAAAAGGCACCGCGAAGATAAAGAGTCTCACAGCTCACACTGTACGCTTAAGGGAGCTATTAGTGCTTAGCGTAAGTAACAGTTTGTGCTCTAGCGTTAAGCTCGCTTTGTCTTTGCTTTAACAAGCCACTTTATAAGGCTAGTTCTCTCTTTAACTCCTTAAGGAGTGTTCAGGCTTTACTTTAAGGGTTTACAGAACTTTTAAGTGATCAGTAGTGTGCCAGGTTGCCGATTAGTACAGGACGGCGCGAGGTAAAGTTCCTGCCTTAAGCGGTAGTATTAGGTAAACCTTTAGGCTGACCTTTTTAAGCTTTATTTAAACAACCTGTCTCTGCTGAAAACTTAAGCGAGTCCTGATTTAAAACCCTTAGTAAGTTAAAGTGCTCTAAGCTAATAAAGCCTTTAATTTACGCCCCTTTAAAAGTCTTTTCCTAATGCTCTTTACATTCCTTCTATAATATAAGACTTGAGCTAATTAAAATCTACAGGCATCATCCCTAGCACCTACTCTCTTAATCTCTTAACTAAGGATCCTTTACTTAAATAGCTTGTATTCTTAACACAAGCATGTAAGGCATTATGTCTGTCTACAAACTTAATCCACACTTCATCTTTAAAGGTCACAAAGTCTAACATAGTAAGCGTCGCAAGCAGGCATTTATTCCTGCTAAATAAAGTAAAGCAGCTCTTATAGTTAAGAATATAATATATAAGCGTCTAGGCTTTTATTTACATATCTTAAAGTACGCTAGCTAAGTGTTAGTTGTAAAAGACACGTTTTCTCTAAAGTTTGAGTAAGCTAAAAGTGGCCTTTACAGCTTGATGCTTAAATGTGCCGTTCTTACTGAGTAAATTCGTCTACAGATAGCTGTATAGATTTTAAGTGGCATGGCATATATTTACTTTTAAAATGTCTTTTACTGTGACTTTAGCTGTTATAATATATTTGTTTTTAAGGATTAAGTAGTTAAGATTAGCGATTTTAAAGGCTTTAAGATTAACAATAAAAAGCCGCTTAATGTAAAGGAAGTCTATTATAAGCTCCCTCTTTACAGGAAGGAGTGAGAAGCGTGAGATTATATAAAACAGGAGATTTTTACTTTAAGCTGTGCTATCTATAAAATTATAATGTGGAAAAAGCCGTTCGCAAAAATAACAGATAATAAGATAGATGAGAACTATGCTAATAAAGTGTTTTTAGACACAAACGGATTACTAGTAAAAGACATTATCCGCGTTTATTAAAAAGAAGAGTTTACAACAGTAAAAGATATAAAGGGTGCTTTAAAAAAACAGCTTGTAGACACTCAAGACATGACAAGTCTGTCTTTAAGTTAGAGCATGCTAAGAGCTTTACAGAGCTTCCTTTATAACCTCTGGCTAACATAGTAAAAGCATAACTATACCTTAAATATATCAACCTTAACTGTTCACTTCTCCTCTTACAACTTCCTCTCACAACTTCGTCCTATAACTTCCTCTCACAACTTGCTCCTCCTTATCACTGCAGCCTAGTAATTTGTCAGGGATTATACGCTTTTAGTAAGATATAATAACAGACTTAAGGGCAGATAAGACATTACCTAAAAGTAAGCTTAAACTAAAGATTATAGTTTGCTCTTATAAAGTATTGTCACATAAGTTGATGTTATCAGATATTTCGCAGTACTTTTAAATGATTTTTATATTAGTGTGTTTGTCTTTTTAACGACATGCATAATAAGTTTGGATATGTTTAACCTAAGTGTACATTTTGAATAAGTCGACAATAAAGTTCTAAGGCTAGCTGGAAGTGTAGCTGTGTAAAAAAGCACATTATTATAGTCTCTCAGATCTTATATCTTGCGCCTAACTAGTTCAGATGCTAATCGAAAGCAATCCCTGCCTTTGTTTGATGTGTTAAGCATCAGTAACGTGTGAAAACAGACAATCAGGGCGTAGATGACTAGGGCGGGTTAAGCGGGGAAGTTTTGCCACCTAAACTGGGCAGCTTGAGCCGTTACCTGCCTTTATCTGATGTAATGACGCGTAGTCAGGGCGTAGTGTAAAACTGTCACGAACCAGGCTCAGTCTTGGTACAAGTCACGGGTTGGCACCATAATACTGATGGTACTACCAAGTGGATGGCACCAGTCGGTGTTTGGTACCAAAGGGTTGATGGTACCATTGAGAGAATGGCACCAACAAGAGAATGGTACGAATTAGCGAGTAGTACCATACTCCACGCTCATTGTCATAATAATAGTTATGTTGATCACGGTGGACATGGGTCACGTGATGTGCTAGCTTGCTAGACGGGCTTGCGGGCTTGCGCGCCCTGCAAGACGTCTTGCACGGCTTGCACAGGAAGTCGGAAGTTCTATATAACGAGTAGGTAGTTTCCTAGATAGTAGAGCTTCGTGCTCAAATCAAATAGCAAGTTTACACCTAGTTTACCACTGCTTGTAACGTCTCAATTCCTATTGAGAATCGAGCGTCTTGTTACCTTACTTCATAGCTGATACCAACCGACGAGTCTGTACTCACGACACCGACCGAGTTAGAAACGTTACAAAAACACATCACAACGCTTGATGACTAAGGTAAATTAAGCGAGGAAGTTTGCTACTTTAATTAAGCGGCTTGGGCCG